TTATCCTTTGCTCTATTCTTGTCCTTTCCTTTTCTCTTCTTCTTGCCTTTACGCTTGGGTTTATCTTGCTGCTCATCAGCTCCAGGTTTCCCCTCATCTACTTCCTCTTCCATTCCAGGTGTGGTTGGTCCAACAGCAGGAGTGACTGGAGCTTGATTTGGGGCTTCAGTTGAGGATTCTCCAATTTCTGTTTCTTTTTCCTTTCCCTTCCTATTACGTTTGTCCTTGCCACGTTGCCTTCCCCTATCCCTTGTTTTATTCCTTCCCTGTTTCTTCTTTTGGCCCTTTGGTTGGGATTTGCCTTGCTGCTCACCTGATGTAGGTTTGCCTGCATCCTCATCTCCTGGCGTAGTCAAAACAATATCTTGTGTTGGTTGTTCTGATGTTACTTCAACAGGCATGGCAGTGACTTGATTTGATTCATAAGAAGAGGGTTCCTCTGAAATCTTGGTCTCTGCATCATTTTTTACAGTAGTCACCACAGGAGCAGATTTTGGAGCTGGGGTGGGGATGGGATTGTCGGCTGCTGGCTTTTGAGTGGCTGCTCCCAGATCTGTTCCAACAGACTGGGGTGTAGTTGGCTCCAGCTCTTTATCTGGGACAAGTGGTGTAGTCTGGACAGTAGGAATTCCCAGCTCAGTTTCACTTTCTGCAGTTGTAACTGCTGGTTCAACTGCTGATGCCGGCTTAGCAGTGGTAGAAGCCTCCACAACAACTGTGCGGGTAACCAGGCTGGAATCTGCGACCGGTGCAAGGACTGTTGTTTTGTCTTCTGGCATCTCAGTCTCAGCTTCCATTTGAAGAGTTGTCACGGCTGGAGCAGCTTTTGGTGCTAGGGTGGGAATAGGAATATCAGCTGCTGGCTTCCCAGTAGCTACCCCTAGATCTGCTCCAGCAGGCTTTGAGGTGGATGCCTCGGGCTCTTCAACAGGAACAAGCAGCGTTGTCCGGACAGTGGGGAATTCCAACCCAGATTCACCTCCAGAAGTAGTCACTTCTGGCACCTCTGGTTCAAAGGGAAGTGCTGGCTTGGCTGTGGGCGCTTGGTTAGCTGGGGATACTGGAGTTGAAGGCTTTCCTTTCTCACTACCCTCACCTTGGTCAGCAACAGGAGGCACAGGTTTTGCTGGAGGTGGAGTGGGCTTGTCTGGTCTGACCGGCAAGGGGTTGGGCTTATCAGCTGAGGGTTTGCCCAAATCTGTCCCTTGGTCTGCAGTGGTTTCTCCACCAGACAGCTCTGTTGTAGGAACCATTTCAGCAGGCTCTAAATTGAGAAGGTCAAAATCAAAGGTTTTAATCAAGGGAAGCAAACTCACTTGAACCATAATGCACACAGAGTCATTTGAAATGTCTCATTTTGCATGCCTCTTCAAGAACCCTGAGGTAAAGGCTTCACAGGCAAGCAAGTACACTTCTAAGGGACTGACAATGAAAAGAAGTCATCAACAGATAAAAAATTCAAAACGATTACTGTTTTCTTAAACGAAGGCTATGCAAATGAGGTAAAAATGAAGATATACAACAGATAAAACAGCAGGATTTCACTCACAAGAAAGAAGTTTTAATCTGTAAGTGCCATAGTTCCAAAGACCTCAAGTTTGTAACATGGCTAACCTCCAAAGTTTCTTAAAGGAAATACACAAAAATAAAGCTACATTTCAAATGTAGACGGTGAAATATAAAATCCATCAAGTGTGAACTGAAAGAGAGCAATTGGAAAATAAATGTTTCAATACAGCTGTCATTAAAACATGCAGACATTAACCAAGTGACTGGAGCAAAGGCTATGCCCACTCCATAGACCTTCATCGTGACACTAGCATGTTTGTCTTGTTCCCTGTAGGCCCGTTGACAAAGGTAATACAACTTCACTTTCAACTTTACTACACTTCCTTCCAACCTCAGTTTGGTTATGTTGCTCTGAATGGTAAAATGAGAAAGACGGCTACCTCATAATAAAGGTACATTTTCCACTATCTGATCTTGACAACTTAGTAACATTTCCTGGATTTGCACCGGGGAGATGTTAATTAATTTTTGATTTTAGCCCTGTCCAACATGTACTATAAAAAGTGAGTATACAGTGAGTAAGTATACAGTGTTATAATACACATTGGGCCGAGCAAAAATTTCAAAATTAATTAACATTTCTCCGGTGCAAGTCCATCCTTGGAAATAGTTGTTTGTGATACCCGCTGCTACATCTGACTTGGACCAGCCAACCGACACTGGCAAGCTCGGTGGTTGAGTGGTGGTTGAGACATCTGCAGTAGTAAGCAGGAGGTCGTGGGTTTGAGTCCCACCTGAGTACGCTTGTGTTTTTTTTTTCACAAGTCTTCGGGGCATACACTGAGTATACAGTGTTATAATACAGGGCAGAAAAATCCAAAATTAACTCACCAACATGTTGGACCCTATAACCAAGCAGCTCTACCCGCATGGCAACACAACGGTGCCAGGAGATGGGGATGATCTTGATGGCTCGGACACAGATCTGACTAGGAAGGAGGTGGCACACAATATCCGTCCCATCCATGTTGCTTTGGAACAACTGCAAAATAGAAGCAATTGCACGACTAAAGGTCAAGAGTGTCCCCAGCAATAGACCGATTGCATCCACTAAATCATGTGACCTACAGCGGGTATCAACCCCGTACCAACTTCTGTTTTGAGTGTTGTTTACAAACAACAAAGCCAACTTATGTTATATTACCTAGCACATCAGTAGTCCGAGTACGGTACCTACCGTCAGCTTTATTTTTGGTAAATGATAATTATGAAACACTTTGCTTTTGGTGGATGCCATATAGAGCATGTGATTTTAGCAGGCACAATCAGCCTGTTGTTAAGCAATGCTGGATTCTTGTTGAAACATTTTTCCCAGATGGGCCAACATCTTTGCACAGGTACTTTTTGACCGATGACAAAGAGCAGTATTTTCCCTTAACTTTTTTCTCACTTGCCAGCTAGACCGGCAGTGATGGCTTTTTACTTGTCCACCAGCATTTTCACTTGTCCACGTCTTCCCCCAAATTTTAACACATGTACATGTACCCCAGGCAAAATGTACATACATGTACAGTGCATGTTCATTCTATACTGTGTCCAGTACCCGTGAGGTGCATTCCATCAAATGGTTGTATCTCTGCGTGCAGGCTCATTAATATTTTGTGATCCCAAGGGGTGTTTACAATAAGACATGCCATAATCAGGACAGATCATACAAATATTTTTATAAATCCCTAATTTGGGACTGATAATTTCCAGTTCGGGGTAGTCAGAGCTGAGCGCATAGTTTTACTAGTATTGTGGAGGTATCTTAGGGGAGAGCCGATTAAAAAAATTTTTGTTGCTAACCCCCGTGAAATTGAAACGAACAGTGATTTTTTTTGGCCACAATCTTGAATTTCCAGTGAAAAATCGGAGGCCAACCTCTTCCAAAGAGTCAACAGGTGGCACTATTTTGGTCTGATTTCGAAATGTTTAAGTTCTGTGGGCGCGTATTTGATGTTGTGCAAGCTGTAGCACACGAACCAAACACGAAATCACAACCGTGACATCGCTAGAGTCACAACTACCAATCAGAAAAATCAGTATTGCATATTCATAGCAACGTAATGCGTATACATACACACTCGGCACGTAATATGCGCGGGATGCATATTCATGTCTTAAATGTACCTCTACGATGCAATGCATGAATGCACGTGCTGATTTAGATCTTGTATGCAGAACAAACATCAAGTCATAGCGTTGTCGAGACATACCGGCCACAGGCGGTAGTACAGTAAACGGCCCACAGTTAAGTGCGATCATTGTGTAAACAACGCATGCATGTGCACAGTGCACTGCACATGAATTTTGCTGGTTAATGCCTCGTACTGATGATAAAAAAGGTGTTATACTGGCATGTCATTTGCACCATTGTACTTGCACATTGGAGTACATCAGTTGGAACTCATTCAATTTATTTCATTATTTTCCACAAATGTTCGTATAAATTCAAAATGTCTGCACCAAGGAGGTATAACAACTTCTCCACACAGGGAATGAAGAATTTACACTTGTGTAAATTGATACAGGTGTATGTCACAGACAGACCTTGACGGTGCCATCCGCCGCTTTGTAGGGCAGGAACAGCTTCCCATCCACGCTAGTCTCCATGGTGAACTGGCTGACATAGGACTCCTCCGGCACCAAACTACCCTGCGTCAGCAGGCCCTCCACGTCTGTCAGTGCCAGCAGGTCGATCGTCAGGTGGTAGTGCTTCCCCCTTGCCAGGGAGCGGGTGGGTGCATGGCACTCGGCCACCCAAGCTTGGTTGTGCAGGTTGAGGCGGGCATTTTGAGGCTGGTAACCCTGGTGAGTTCGGGGTTCAGAGTTTTGAAAGCTGTGGTCAGGACTTTCCAATACACACAATCTTACCCATGGTTGTGTTACCTACCTAGGGTGCACATTCCTTTGTTTTCGTGTAATTAAAGAAACACGGCGAAAACACTCCTTTTTCTGGCACTATGAATACTCTTTTATGCTGGAATTTGGTATTTGTTTCCTTGACCTTGACCGTTCCTCTTCCTTCTGCTACGGATAACTAACCTAAAAATGCCTGTTAAACTCTAGAAAAAGGGTAACCTTATGTGGACCTGGTTTAGTTATCAATCTTGTGTGGACGTGGCTCAGAGCAGTCCACACAACATCATGTTCAAGGGTCCACATTAGATTATGTCACGGTTAAGGAGAGGGCTTGTGGTGGTACCATGTGGAAAGATGTTTTTTAGAGGATGTGGTTCCTGACAAGAACCGGTGAGTGTATACTTGACATTTTGACCGGTGTGCTCTGGTCCTCCTCAGGACTGGAGGGTTGCTGGTACACACACAATAATGATAGAAACTTTGAGGACGGGGTTAAATGATTTATGCTACATTCTCAAAACACAAAAACAGATCACATGAAACTTGCAAAAACCACACAGTGAACTGTAACAGGGTCTTTTGAAAATCATTCGTAATTACCTGGTAACTAAACTTGCACAATACCAAGAAAAATCAGGACGTAATGACTGGAGGGTTCAGGCACCTTATTGAATTATCTATTTAGTTTATGCGGAATATTTTCAAATTGGAAACATCACTCATTGTCGGGGGAAAAGATGACATTAAGTAAGAGCCCTTCAAAAAAAAGATTGTTGATGTGAGAAATACATACTCAACTTATACCCCGATTATGGGTCAGAGTTATTCTGGAAGGCAGTGATATTTGACTGTGAGCGTACAGATGACTCTTGAGCCCAAATCCGGTGCCAATTTGAGCTTTCCTCCACTCAAAAACACAAGGCATTGTACCACGAAATTCCATATCATTTTAAATGTTTGAGTTCCAGGAGGTACAGCATCCATCACACAAAAATGTCAAACTTTATCACTGCAATCTCCAGTAAGATTCCTTCTGTGTTTCTAGAACCACGATGGAACATAAAATGCAACGTTCCTATGAACCTCTTCAGGTTTTGTTCCTTGAGGGTAGCGGAGAGAGAAAAACAGAGCATGGCAGATGTACCTTCAAGTATATGCTTGCAGTTATCTGTGCTCCATTAATCTCCCCTGACTCCATTCCCAGGTAATGCACGCCCTCTGAAATAAAAATATTTTATTTCAATTGATATTTGAAATAAGGGCTGAGTACAATCCTAGAACAGCCTGAGATGAAGCTGTTACATCTCAACTTTGTCCACGACCCAACTTTGCCCAGTGTCTAGTTTGGGGGCAGGCCCTATTGCACCAATATAAACATGCCCAAATTTGGTTGGGGGAAATAAATATCACAAAATTATATTGAGGAAAATACAAGAGAAAAAGAACCACAGCATGGTGGAAACTGATACAGAGCAAAATTGGAGGTACATATGGAAGCAAGCCATCATGTTGCATGAAGCCCTTTGGAAATCTAGGATTTTGAAGGATCCAAGGCAAAACTTAAAAGGCATGGTCCTATCAAAATCTATGTATGGAATTCCTCTTCCTTTCTCCTGCTGACAGCTTGATTTCAGCCAAGAGAAACTTTTTGGGCGTGTGCTGAAAGATCCAAGGGAAAATTCAAAGCAAGATTCCTAAAAGAATAGTCTATGGGGTTGGGTTTAATTGAGAGTTATGAAAAGCTTTCTTTTTGAAATGAAAGTGCATTTTTTAAGAATGACAAAAAAAATGACGAGGAACTTCTTTTTTTGACCTTTGATCTGACAGGTGGGTCCAGGAACAGGCCTTGCGACCCCATACACTTTGACCTCTGATACTTGTAGATGGGTTAACTCATCAGGCTTGTCCGGATTCAGTTGAATGCTGACGTAACGGCCGACAGGCGGAACACCATCTATGCTCTGGCACTGAACCTGGAAGAATTAATATCAAACCAACTGTTACCGTGCGGTTCCACTAAAAAAAGGGTGAAGCAAGTTCAGTTTAAGAAGTTGGAGCAAGGTTAAGTTCCGATGAATTAACGGTCTTTCCGCCACCAGAGCCTTCCTCTAATTCAAAAGTATAAATGAAGGAATCCTCTGAATGATGGCATGTCACTCTGAGGATGTCTGGGAAACAGTAATCTTGGATCTTACTTCTACCCGTCTCATGTCGCCGAAGACTGACAAGATCTCCTACTTTGAAAGTGTTAGGGTTAGCTCAATCTGCGGTCAAAGTGTTTCTTACTCTAACCTGTCTGGAATTTGTGAGGAACATCATAATTTGAATATCATGTCTCAGAGTTTGCAGAGTACTTGGCTACTGCAGTGTTTGTGTTAATCTTCATATATTCATACATCAAAGTAATAGTTCACACACCTCTAAGACAAGTGAGTGTCTGTAAACGAGCCCTATTTCAACTGGACTTCGCTATACGCCTTGAAGGAAAAAAAAAATCTCTAGCACATGCACAGATGTACTCCTATGCCCTCATTGCCAGTCATCAACATATGCATGCAAAGCATTTCAGAGGGAAGCACAGAAGGAGAAGCTCTACCTGGACAGATTCTCCCGGTTCGACCTTCCTCCGGTAGATGGCTGAGCAGGGAGGGTTGTTGTTGACGTCCGGGTTGTCACCAACACGGACCACAAAGTGGGTCAAGATCTTGGGCTCGGCACACACTGCGTGAGAAAGAAGAGTCCCTTACAGATAGTTTCATTTAAGAATCGGACGGTTTTGTTAATTGACCAGTTTTGTAATTAAAAAGCCAAGAAAGTATTCCACTCTTGCAAATGTTACAGTAATTTTGAATTGGTCATGCCAAAAATTACACTGATCATGCCCAAACACTGGTAAGTTTTACAAGAGTTGAGCGATGCCGCCCTGAATATTTGACGTGAGATCAGAATAACTTTGACAATGTGCCACTTGCACGTAGCTCACTGTCAGTGGAACAAGTATCTTACACATAATTCCAGGATTGTTGATGGCCACAAAGTAGATCTGGTAGTGGTCCTGGAGATCCACGGACCACCAGGGCTGAGTCTGGACTTTGGTGATGACAACACCCTCGTCTGTTGACCCAAACAAAACAAAAGGAAATTAGATGGACAAACCCTTGGAAAACACTGGCAAGCCCCATCCAAAAAACAAGCCATGTTGTTCTTATGCTTGAAATGGAATTCAAGATTACTGGCACAGGAGAGAGGCAGTTTTTAAAGCCACAAAATTGTTTGTCATAAGGAAGGGCTCAAGACCCTCAACAGTCAGGTACGTGCCGCTTTATTACGGCAAATATTTAAAGCCTCCTCTCAACTACAAGCCACTCAGAGCTGAAATGTCAGTCCGCTGCACAGAGGATCAAAATATGACTCTTGGAAAACTTTGGCTGGGACAATGTAATAAGCCACACTATTCCGGAGGCTGTCATGAATTATCAGGATTTCCGGAAATGGTAACTGAGTACTTTTTTAAATGAAGAATCATTGGTCTGAGGGAAGGGAGTGCACTCTTTCCTAGAAGATATGCCCCACCGGTAGTTAAGTCCCATTTTCAGGTGATCAGCATCCTGATCTCAAACATGAACTGCATGTACGGTATCTGCAGACAGGTTTAAAGATGAGGACGTTATGTGTAAACTAACCATCTTTGCCATCAACGGCACCGCTGGCTCCAAAGATGGGCTCAAACATACTAGACTGCTCGGCCGGCTTGTACAATGCAAGATTTTGGATCCCACCTCCTGTGCCCACCGGAACTGCTTGTTGAGAAGTAAATGTATAAATTCAATGACAGTGGCCACAAACTCACACACAAATAACAAGACCAAGTTTAGTATCCGAGTTTTTACAAAAAGAAAGAGTCAGGGCTTTCACATGTATTTCTTGTTGTTAATTCCCATGATGGCCACCATTCTTTTGTCAATTGCCAGGGACCACTGAATGCTTCCACTTAAAAATGTAAGTAACAAGTTGGACACCAAGTTTGCAGCAAGTCATTTCATGCAACCGAGTCCAACTCAAATCACAAGTCATTTGGTCCAACGCAGAGTACGTTACAAGTCCTTTTGTCCAAGCACATGTACTCGTCAAGTCGCACACTAGTTGTGAGTAAACAGTCACGAGTACGCAAGGCAGACCTGGCTAATAATTAGAAGTTAAAGCCATGACCCTAATGACGTCTGATTGTTTTCATGCACACAAGGTGTAAATTGACAGCCCAGATTTAAAAGTTTGTGGGGTCACTCGAGTAGCTTGTAAGTTGTGTTAGTAACAAGCCAAAATTTTTTCAACTCCAGGTCAAGACACAATTAAGTCAAAGCTCGCAGTTACAAGTCAGTTCACAAAACACAAAAATAGTGACTCCAGTCCTAGTCTTAAGACTTGAGCCAACAACACTGGACAAGAGAACTGAACATACATGAAGTGGTTTATTTTATAGCAGCTACTTCCATCGGCCCGGGCACAATTTAAATTTAAATAGACTGTTTTTATTACAGAAAAGAGCCTTGCCGATTTCTATGATCATACAGATCCCCTTTTTATCAAATATAAGACCTTAAAACTTAATGTAGAGTGTTCAACTTGGATCTTTGATGTATCAATGTACTGGTAAAACCGTCTTCTATGATGAGTACATCTAGGAAGAATTGTGAAAATTCATTCTCCCTATACACGACAATTTTCTAATTTCCATATTTCATGTAACCATACTTCTCTTCCTCAAAATACTGATAAACAGAGGGGACCTAACTTCTGGAATTCCCTCCCTAGTCAACTCAATGCTCCTCCTAATTTATCTATCTTTAATCAATTATTTAAATCTACCATAATTCAAACATACCATTAATTATGCCTGTGACTAACCTAACCTACATTATTTCTTGTGGTCTCGATAAGCCTGCTGATCTGTCCTGTGTTTTTTGTCATTTGTATTTATACGTAATGTGTATATGTATTGGATGTTTTACGAATACATTTTCCAGTTTATGATAGTGTGTAATGTAACAGGGTCATGCTAAAAAGCTACAGCTTCCTAATGGGCTCCCTGCAGCATCTATAACCATATATGTAATTTGACTATGGATACTGTAGACAAATAAATTGAAAAACTAATTGAAATGTTCAGCCACAGCAAATGCAAATGTGAAAGCATGCTTGGAGATAAAAGCAGTTAACTACATGATGTGGAAGTGACTGATAGGGTCTAATGTTTCAAGTTCTGATTGGCAAGTACATGTATGTCACTGTCTGATGGATTATTATTATTTTTTTTTTTTGCTTTTTTACACAAGTCATTGTCTGGGGGAAAAATAAAACTTCGAAGTAAAATATATGTGGGTTGAATGCTAAACATGACTTCTTTCATTTTGCTTGACAGGGAATAAGCAATGACAAATGATCAAGGCCTTTGAAAATCACAATCAGCGATTAAAAACTTATTAAACTTACACATTTTATATCAGATGTCAAGTAAATAGTAACATCAAAACAACAAGAGATTTAGAATCTCCAAGCAACATCTTCACCAAAGATATCGGGAGAGGCATGCATTTATTTTACCCTCTGGTTCGTGGCCGTACAACTCAACCCGCATGCCAATGCGGTTGTAGTAATCTTGGGGTAGGAATCGGACATAGCGGGCGTTGACTGGCTCCTCTAAGTTGTGGTGCACGATCTCGTCACAGTCCGAGTTGCCTTTAAACAGCTGAAAGAAGGCCAAACGTGGGTCAGTTCACAGCTAGGTTTGCCACTTCATAACGATTAGGAAGTTAAACATGGTCACGAGTGAAACGCGGCCGACCACGCTGGCAATGGTTCCTGCATGAATTAAGGCCTTAGAACATTGGTTTACGATACTTATCGGGAAATTTCTTAACCTGGATGATACGCCTAAAACATTGTGCTTTTTTCCAAACAATGTGGTTTTAATGGTTTGATTTCGCAGTTGGAATTACCTAGAAATCGAGTACTGAACAGCGTACACTACATTGACAGATCACCACGTGGATTGTTTTCATTTAGGACGCCCTCTCTCGCCAGCGATGTGATATCAGTGATCCCTTGGGAAAAGTTTGGGTTGATTAGGGATGGTCTCAAAAATGTTTTTTAAAACCTTTTTAACTGTGCGCAAGCGCGTTGTTGACTTCTGCTTTTGCTCCACCTTCAGCTTCACTCGCCTGTTTTGGTGTGTTCCTTCCTCCACGGGTTAACCTAGGTTTGAGTTCGTCATTTATGATTTTCATCAACTGGGCTAAGTTTGCAAAAATGTGACATTATGTAAAAGTCCTAGTACACATGTCATTTTAGTGACAACATAGTAAGAAGACACTGTGTACATATCAGACCTTAAAAAAGCTTCCCCCGTAAATAACTACAGGGATTTTGATGGTTTTCGTAATTTAGTGATTCATGTGTTACCATTCCTCTGCTATTCCGAACTCCTTCCCTGTCCCCTCCGTAGAAGTTCCAGTTGCTCCCATCCATGCTGTGCGCGAGGTTGTATGACGTCACCCACTCGTCCGAATTCCCGGCTCGGCCCTGGGTGGCTACACCCGTGATGATGGTCGGGTAGACCAGGTCGATCTGCAGGTACTGGTCCCGGTTCAGCTCCAGGGGGGACCACCCTCCCGCCCCAGCGTCGGACGGCAGGACGTTCAGGCGGGCGCGATGCGGGCCCATGTGATGGTCGATGTAGGATGAAGCCGACATCTGGCTGTCTGGAATCCTGCCGGAACTCACGCCCAGGGGAATTGTGTCCGGTAGAGCTTTTCAGATGAGTATTAGACAATTGAAAAATGAAATAAATGGCGTGCTCATGTGGGGAGAATAGTTACACACCAACTCGAGAACCTGGCTCAAGTTGTACTTACCCCCTGTCGTTCACGCTCCATTCAACTCTCTCAGCTCCAGATTTGAAGAAGCAAAGTGAAACACCAGTGTTTGCACATTTCGAGAAGTCTGTATCTTTCACGAATTGGTAGGCCTATGGCCAAAACAAACATGCAAAGTCTACCCGTCTACAATACTATCAAATAATGAGGTCCTACTATTCACAATGGTCAATATAAGGCTTAAACTTCCATCTGTGAGCCATCCCATCTGACACACTACTTGTTACTTCCCTTTCTCATTTTCACAACCTTGCAGAGTGCAAGTGTCAAAACTTCACCCTGCACTAACCAAGGAAATTGCAAATACACGGGGAAAATGGCTCAAAGAGATGATCTAATTTGTGCCAGTGCTAGGGCCCTGCCTGCTTCAAAGGTGAGTCCAATGGGTTCCCAAGATTCATTTCCATTTCTGATGGAATAAATAACCTCGGATCAAGAGTTGCAACGGAATTCATTAACTAAAAAACACACAGAAGTTTGTACCTGGCAATATCAGTGGTATACTGAATAGTGGGTTGTTAAATCAATGTAACTGCACTACATTTATTACCTGGATCTCGTAGAACGTGAATTCCATGTCCTTCACGACTTCTGTCTGCAAAACAAATGAGGTGACGATTCGAAATAGATAAGGCAATTTGTTTTGTGTTTTCTTGGAGAGTCTACGTCCGTTCATGACATGGCTTTTTTCAAATCATCTCACAGACATTTCGCTGGTCTTTCTCGGGGGAAAATGGCACTGTGCGAAAACGTTAGTCTGGTTTTCACAAAATTGGGGTGAAGATGTCCACAAGATATACTGAAAAATCCTGAAGGCTTGGTGCGCGAAAAATTGCACTGCGACGATATCGGAAAAATGTCGACAGGTGGATTTCCCTCCGCGGCTCTTGTATAGTTATAAAAAAACTGTAGGCCTATACATGTTTACTTGTATATGTACTTCTCATAAATTGTATAACTACAGAAACGTACCGAGCTCTTTGTTCAAAACATAAGGCGGTCCAGCTGGATCTGAAGCAAATAAACAAGACAAGCGAGTCAGCATTTTTTACAAATATTTTTCATATAAATTGTCATCGGAAACACGAATTGCAACTAAAAAAGAAGAGAGTAAATTTGATGGGTTGCAATCTACCATTACAATAGGAATTTACCTTTACGACATAGATTTTAATGACATTTTCGAATTTATTTTGAAAACAAACAAGAGTAAAATCAAAACGTTTCGATCCTAGCAGAATCGTTCTCAAAGGCAAAATGAATATTCATCATGAAATTTCCAACTGTTCTGCCTGTCTATGACGACACCGGCACCGGTCTTGAGAGTATTTTGTGCAATGGCAGGGCGTCAAAGTCAGCCGTGTATGGTTTTCATTAAATCCTTTTTGCAAAATTGTCGTTTGTTCTTTGTTTTGCTATTTACAGAGGTTGATCCACATTCTTAGCGCTTGAGGACCCACGAGGGGTCGTTGTAAGCTATGGTATTGATTGCAAGTTCATTTCAAGATTAGATTGTTTAAAATAATCACAACATGTTATCGTTATTACTGTTCTTGCCATCTCCACAACCGGCGATTGTCCCACATTCTGTGCAGTGGTAGGGATCGTTGGCACACGGGCATCCCCCGTTGATGCAGCAAGCGCAGGTGTCCCTGCCCGAGTTGCCCGGGCAGGGGCACTCCATGGCCCCCGTCCAACCATTCACCACGCGGTCCTTGATGACTGGGTGCGCTGGTCGTGGTAAAAAGTTATCAAATGACTGAAAGCTTTCCTTTATCACTTGAGAGCATTTAGTTTGAGTACATGTGCACACTTGAAAAGTGGCAAACGTTGTATAGAGCAGTATGAACGAGTTCATATGACGAGTACATACGTGCAGATTGAATCGGAGACCAGAGGGTACGGTGAAGAACTGATCATAAGCATCAAAGTTCATTAAAAGACCAGCTCACTTGTTTTTTTTCGAAAAATGCCTGTATCCCTGATACCATACTTACACAAGTCTAAAAATCTTATCCCTACAAAATCTTAACCGGTGTTTGACTTGACCTTGACTCTGTTGGTTTATTTATTTAAAATAGATTAGTAATGTGTTACTAAGCATATTAATTATTTCAGAAAATCTTCAGGCCTTTTATCCACGGTCAGATTATGTAAGTTACTTCTTCTAAGGTTTCTAAAGTTATACTATTATGCGTATATGATTCTTAAGTGTATAAAGACGTGAACAAAATGAATGAGAGAAAAATATGAGAGAATTTTTTTTATTTTGTTTTAAATAACTACAGCTGTACACATTATTATGACACCTACGTATGCCGCATGTATACTCCTGTCCACACTTGACACAGACATTATGAGAGCCGATCGGACACTGGGCCCCGCCCACAATACAACAGGCGCAGTCCCTGCGAGTGAAGTCGAACTGACAGGTACACCCAGTTCGGCTCAGCGTCCAGCGGTCGGCGTACTGGCTAAAATCCGCCGTCAGCCCTAAAACAAAAAGGAGCGATTACAGATCTGTTAAAGTCTGCCTACCGGCTACTGGTATAGTTCGATCATCATCACAAGTCCATAATGAGCCGGCCTGGGTTGGAGGGAACACACACATGGTTAGGGTTACCGTTCGTAGTACCAATTTGCCGGATATACGCTTTTAAAACTCAGATAAGATGCTCAGATAACATTCTAAAATCTTTGAGTTGCACGTAGGTCCAACAGGGAAAGTCTGGGAAATCTGTAAGGCCCGTTAGGCCTATAACTTTACTTTTAGCATTTTTACTTAAATGGATATATTTCATCTAGTTTTGACTTACAAAATAAAACTGTAGGCCCTAAGCCGTGAATTTTTGAAAGCAAAAACTCTACTGAAGATACGATATCGGTGTATGTAGGATGTAGTTCCTTGCCCTTTCTTGAACCCAAAACCAAAGTAGCTAGACTTTTTCCTTCCTTTTTTGCAAACTGTAGTCGTTCAGGAGGGAGGGAGGTAGCTCCCCGTAATTAAAGTCTCGAGTGGGAGTCATTTTTTAGAACGGAGTGATTAATAATAAATATCATCTACTCACCTCCCTTACTGAAGGCGCGTGGCTGAGAAAGGGCGCCATGAAGACAAAACGCCGATAGCATCAGTAACGGGTGAAGGGCCGCTCGCAAGCAAGACATCGCTGTAGGGGCGAAATGAAATGTGAACGCAGACTGCAGTTAAACACTAGTTACCATTTTTATCACCACACAGGATGGTGCGGGAATCATTACCGTGGTCAAATCAACACCAAGTGTAGATTCGAAACAGAAAGTACGCCAGAATCCAGGAGAATGCACCACAGCTCAATTTTGCAAGTCAGTGTTGCAATACAGTGACTTGATTCATGGAGGAAGGGTTATCCTTCCTCCGTGCTTAATCGAGGTCTGTGTATTCTTATCCGACAAGCATGCCGCAAACATTTTACTGTTTTCTGATCTGTTGGTGCCTATTCTTCAACAATAACATAGAGTTAACTAACTGTAAAATTAGTTACAGTCTCAGATTTCACTTACAATAGCATTTATTACATGATTATGCAATTAAGTACAGGTGCGTCATGAGAACAAAAGACAAAAGGCATTCCAGTAGCTGCAGGTGTTCTTGATGACGGTGTGTCAACAGTGGACGTGCAGTTCATGGCCGATAGCTTTCATGCTTGAGAGGTGATTAATATAATGCTGATGGCTTTTCACAAGACCTGAGCTTATTGTCTTCTGTGGGAAAATGCAATTTAGTGCAGCCTTACGATTTTCACACCACATACGACTACGCACGACCTTTTAATTACACGGAGTGGCTAGTGAGGGGAGAGGCAAAAGAAGCGTTAACTTTTTCAGTCAGTAACAACACAACTGTTTCTACATGACATACAATGTTAGACGGAGGCCATCAGGGTCATGCCTCACCCTGCAGAACCAATAGCGCGTCTGGGGGGGAGGGCTGGGGCAACTTGCCCACCCCCTTCCAAGGTGTTTTTTTTTTCTCCAAAGAATATACCAAGTAAGAAGGAAAGAAAGTAATCGTTATATCAGCACCAAAACCCGAAGAAAATAACGCCACGAAGTAAAAGCAAGGATGTGGGGCTGTGAGTAAGGCTTTTGATATCCCCCAACATCATGTTCAATGAGCAGAAAGTCGCATACGCTTTTGAATTTGCCCCCCCCCCCCGCTAAAGCTGGATACGCCGCTGTTCACCCCCAAAAAGAAGCGGTGGTTTAATTGTGACGACAGGTGATTTTATGGGGACTCTGCCATTCCCTTCCTCCCAAAGCACGTAAACATCGCTGAAATTTATCCTCCCACCTAAGAGAGGCTATACATAAAGAAATTCGCCCCTTGGTAAAAAGAAAGTCCCTGTCACGTTCATTTCGGTTCTGCAATGAACTGCACCAGATACGAGTCCTCCTTTCACATCTGAAAACATTGAGCCGAGACTTTCACGTGTCATCAGTGCTGAATTATTTTACCTTGTGCACATTATATAGGCACAGTTAGCAGAAACTAGCGGAAAATCATGCATAAGTCTCTTTCCTATATCTGCATGGCCTTGTATCCGTTAAACTATACATCATTCGGACCAGCTGAGCACTGCAACGCAGAAGTCCTGTACCACTGAATTTGAAACTCTATGTTATATCCTTTTGTCGATTTATTTTCACTTGCTTAAAAAATGAGTCCCTTTTCTTTTGCAGGATTGGAACAATAGGTAAGATTTGAGGAATGGGTCGGGCAGATCAGTTTTCCTTTCTGCAATACGTAACTCGAAGTATAAGAGCTTCATTAATTTTTCTAAACGAACTTGAAAAAACATGGCTTTCACTACAACCACACTTGTGCGCTACATAATATTTAAAACTGAGCTCGAGTTTTTCAACACAACTTTTTTATATTCTTACTCCCCATAAGGAGTCAGGAAAATGGCTTTCCGTAAACTTATTAGTAAGCCTATAGCTTGAATTCCACCTTAGTAATACTGCGCCAGCCAATTTTTAAAAAGAAAGTAAAGACTCGCACTTTAGTTGGCAGGTTAACAGTAACAAATGGAGAAAATTACAAACGCAGCATCAAAAGTATGACCCGTTTGGCATTTCTTCAAATCAGGGCTGTTATCGGCTTATAGCTCCATGATTCTACACTAATTCTGACAATTTGTTCATTTTCATGACAATTATATAATTAAAGATCAAAGTAATCAACCTATAAATAAAAACAGCAAACAACAGAATATCAGAAAGAACTCACTGTTTGCAGCGTCGCGTCCACCGAACCACGGCTGTATCAATATCCGAGTCACTCAAGGAATCAGATATCTTCAAGAATGTTCATTGTTTTCAAAAACCTCAGAAAAAATGATAATAGTGATATGGTGATCCAACTTCACTTTCTCAAAAGTGCCTTCTGAACTTTCAATTTCCAGAGAAGGTTAATGAATTTTGTGTTTGGCTTCGATTTAAATAGATGTTTGGCTTTCTGGAAAAAGTCTGATTAAATCAGCCGGTGACCATCTCACTGCAATGCTATTGGATAGTTCTGAGTCAATACGTCAGTTCTGATCGATGGTTCAATTAGTGTAAAACTGCGCATGAGGCAACAGCTGACCACGTAAAGCGGTCATTCCACCACAGATGGGGATAATTTGGAGGAAACCTTCAGTTCACAGTAAATTGACAACGACCTCAAAGTCAATAGAAACAAATCATTCGCAACAGCTGTGTGGACTATTATTGCCGTCATCTAACACGTTGGTGGTGGATTGTTAACTGGTGTCACCAACAGGTTGCATACCTTTCAGGAAAAACACGCACATTTCGCGCCATCTCAGTCTCCTATCCAGCCTCCTAAAACTTCTTTTTTGCGAGAATTTCCGTCCTAAAAATTAAAATAAAGAATTTCCTTTGACAATAAAAATAACAACCAAAGTGGAAAGCCCAAGAACTTCAAAACAATCTGTAAAGGAATTCCCGTCGTTCAGAAAGTATATTTCACATCATTGCACCATTACAGCAATAAATGGACCTCTAAACTCGCAGAAACCCCTCCTTCAAAATCTCCGTGTATAATATAGGCAATACTGCATGCACTAACACGCCGATTGAGATTTTTGTTCAATCAAGGACAAAATGATCCCTTCATGTTTTTTTATTTATTCATTATTTGTCCAGGGTAAAGCCCAAAAGTTATAAACTGCTCACCCTGAGGAAGAGGACTATGAAGAAGTGTTATTTTAGCAGTGGGAGGAAAACCCAGACGAAATAGTCTAGCAAAAACCAATGGAATCGGGCGGGGACTGTGAACTCAATCCATGTGTCGGCCCAGGAGGGATTTGAACCCTGGGTAAAGCAGCGATAGAAGGCGACGTAAGTACCGTACCGCTGCGCCAAACGAGAGGGGGGGGGGCTGATCGCACACCCAAGTGCCGTACCCGGAACCAGACACCGTGGCAGTTTTCAAAACCCCGGCTCCGTCTCCATATTTGGATATACGAGTAATTGGACACAGGCTCTGATCTGGGACTGGCCGGATGTACGTACCCCAAGCTTCTCTCCAGTAAAAGATTTAAAAAAAAAGGTTAAGTGCAGGCTGATAGGTAATAGCGCCCCCATTTTTAAAACCAAGAATGACATTTTTCGGTTCATTTAAACAAATTGCCGAATCCCAGAAAGCGGCGAATATCTATAAATACGTGAATTTGCATCTTTTCTTATGGACATTTATTGTTCCCCCTTTTAACCTGTTATGATCTCAATGTTCCCCCTTGTAAGATCTCAATGACCTTCTGATGGAAGAGTAGACAGAACAACGGTAGCCAACGTTTTAAGTACCACGTTGGGTAGATTTAGATTCACGATGCGCGTGGAAGGTTGCGCACAGCCAAATTTCATCAACGATTGAGAAAACCACCAAAGCAAGCTTTAGATGTCACCACTGACAAAGCAACATTTGTTCAACGGTGCCCATGCCAGTCAGGTTGGCAAGGTAGTTCTTTCCTCGCCTTCCACCTCTGTGGTCCCGGGTTCGATTCTCGGTCCACATGTGGATTGGGGTTTCAGTCCCTACCTGACTCCGTGGGTTTTACCTAGAACATTCATCTGAGGTTTTCCTCCCACGTCTAAAACTGTAACTGCTTCTTACTGTCTCCTCTTTACTGATGTTGATGAATATGGGTCGTTTGGCGGCTGCCCGAGGCGCCCTTGTATGCCACCGGCTCAACTATGTTTAAAATGTATTCATTGTTCCATGCTTAATGTCTTCATTGTACATCGCATTTGAACATATCTGTATGAAATGTGCGCTTTATAAATGAATAAATTATTATTATTATTATTATATTATTATGAAAGAAGTAGTTCAAACAAATATAGCAATGCCTTATAAATCCTTTGTTCCAAACTTCATTTTGATTTTCCACTCGGAAGCGAAATTGAAACACATATTATCGCCCTTGTGCAAGGTGTCTTCAGAGCAAGTATTTGAAACCAAAGTGCTGTACAGGATTCTGCATTCTAAATTTCACTTGAATTTTCCACACAGACTCGAAAGGAAAAATGCATACCAAAACTCTCTCCACCCATTCTGCGCACGGAGGAAGAACTGCAAAGAAAGGAAGATAAAATGGGTAAAATAAATAACCTACAGAAACTCAATTTTCATGACTTTATTCGTAAAATGATTTAAGTAGTAGCAAGAAGTTGAGACGTTTATTTATGTGTTTTTTTCATAAGGGAAACCATAGAGAAATTAAATTATAGCACTCCAAAAGAGTAAAGAAAGATCAAACGGCCGACGACCGAGAAAAACAAACAAATAAACAAAAAACAAAAAAACGGGAAGGGAGGAAAGCATTCCAACCCCCCCGCCCCATGGTTGGATCACTCTACCCCCCCCCAGAAAAAAGGGGGAAAAAATCTGTGTTCAAAGTTTACGCAGTTGTAACTGACGAGATCGTCCCCAAACACTGTAGAAAGTGAAATCGCATGTGAGGTTATCACGAGGGGGCCTAGCCTTGTCACGCCGCTGGTGAGCGGTTTCACACGAGTGGATGATCACGCCCCGAGAAACAGTTTCAACAATGCATTCATTCACTTGCACCTCACATAATGAAGGTCTTTTCCAAACCACGGCTTCCCAACCGCAGGTCATTGTAGCTGAAATAGAAACTAGGTGTAAGTCCCATAAATATTGATATTTAATTAAAACGGTTTGAAATTCTAGTGAAAAAGATCATAACAACATGTTTATCTGGTAAAACAGGTTTTTTTATCCAGATAAAAACTTCCGAAGTCAGTGTTTTTAATAGTGCGTGTAGCCGAAATGGATACGAAGCTTAGATTTGGAACCCCCATTGATTCACCACGCGTGTGAAGTTGGTTTGTAAGGCGTGGACTCAACCGCAACGTGAACGCTACATTCAGCTGGCGATGCTAGGGATTGTGGTGACAGTTTCCGGTGTGTGTGTTGCACGCTTTTGTTGTCTTAGATCTAACCATCAAAGATCGTTTGGCCCAAATTGTTCCCCGATCGCAGAGTGTTACTGGTGAATTGCTACCCGAGATTGATTCCAGTGTGAGAGAAAGACGAAAATGGCAACAAACGGCGATCCGGAAAGTGAGTAGCCCAAGTGCTTAAATTTCTTTTCTCTCTAAAGCGAGAATAAGGAGATCGCTGCTGTCAGTTTCATCATTATTGTCATGACCATCAACGTGCTTTGTTTGTGGACGGGCCATAAAGGCTGGCTTTGTCCTGCGCTGCGTGAGTGACGTGCAGCCGGTCTGCAGTGCTGCTGATCTTGGCTGGATCGTTGTTTACATATTTACGATGATTGCATCGTGCTTGTAGTTGTGACTATTGTTACGAGATTTCAGTTTTTGTGACTTCTTTTTCAACCGTGTAATCATACCGCACTGCAGTGCAAGGAAGGTGCTCAAATCAAGGGAAAAGGAAGGAGGCTGGATGAGAAACTAGGCTACTGTATTCCTTTTGTATCTAATGCAGCTTATGACTTAAGTATACTGCAAAACTGAGCCTAGGCTTTCGAGTTAAACGTAGGGTGAGTGCGGGAATTTTCGACCAGGAAGAAAATTTGACCAACTGCATTCAAAAACTACACTGCTGGTCAAATTTCTTGCTTTTCTCATGTGGTCGAATACCCCCACCTTTACCCTGTATCGTATACAGGCTTTCCAACAAAGGAGCCGAGTTTGTAAATTTAGTTTCTTTAAGTGGCAAAGTGTGGCTTGTAAAATTTTGCCAACTACAGGGTTTGCATCCTGCCTCCTTTTTTTGTCAGTTGAAAAGTATTTCAAAATTTTCTGAGAAAAAAATGTCGAAAATGCATGGTAAAGAGTTGCACTTATGTACATTATTAAGTTTCCCTTGCAGTGCAGTGATTTACTAGCCATCAGAAAATGCTAACATGTCCTGAAAAGTCAAATTTAACAGAGAAAATATTCAAAGAAATTTAGTTTGAAAACACTCAAAATTTTTCAGACCAGACTCCTAGGGTTTGTGCACAGGCTGTCAATTGATTCCGGATATGGAACTCTTTCCTTGCACTAAACTCTCTACACAACCAACATCTACAGTGGAGTCAGGATGCTGCAGTCTTACTGTGTTAAGTATGAAGTCATTTACAAGTTCTGTCTTTTTCTGAAAGAGGGAAATTCCACATACATGGACTACCCAATAAAAAATTGTAGGAACTAAAATAATGCTTGTGTTATTTTAACAGTGTTTATCTGTTCGTCCTTTCAAATGCTGTCTGAGTTCATATGTATGTTGAGTTGATGAAATGTTGCCCATTTCACATCATTTTGTAAGATAAATAACACTTAGGGCTGAGCTCGCACTCCTTCAGCATTCCATGCCAAGGACACACTATCGTTTGTTCAAGTTCAAAGATTTTAATGAGATCAAGGTCCGCCCAAGAGCTGAGAAGGACAAATAATGCTTTAACCAGTCGAGGATTTCCGGGACATTATATGGTGTCAACAGATTCAGGAAGTCATCGCCACAGTGAGGAGAGGGTCTTCAATACTGTTCAGCTTGTGAAATTTTGTTCTTAGAGGATGTGGGATGTTACTGATACCCATATGGAGCTTTTTTCCATTTTTCAAATTATCAGTTTGTCTGCAGCCCCCAAAATATCCACCGCTTGGCTGAAAACCTCAAGATTCATCATTTGGAGCTAGGCTCTGCTTGTTTCACTAAAAGAAAAATCAAGCAAAAAACACAAATAAAATAAAAAACCCTCACACAAAAAATAAAATAGCTTAAAACCAGGCAAATTGAAAAAAAAGGAAAAGGAGATACATTTGTGTGTTCCTGAGGGGATGAGAACATTTTCTACTTCCATGGTGAGAATGTTCGCCGGCACTGGTTGTTATTTGGCACACTAACGGCTGGTACAGCAAAGACACGTACATGTACGTACATGTACATGTATGTACATGCTGTACATAGGGCTTATATGCAGCTGTCGAGAAACTCGTACAATAATTCACTCTGATAATGAGAGAAGCTGTCATTGCAAAGCATGTATGTTCTAAAGTTAAGCATTTTCTATTTGGCCAAACTTTAGTTGAATAATTGTTTTTGCTTAGGCAGGGGGTCAGGGTACATGAAGATGAAAACAAAAAATTTCAATCATCGAAATGGTCCAGTTCAGTCCCACTCCACAGTCCTCCCCAGACAGGGTTAGCATTGTTTGTGGTCGTTTGGAAACTTTGGATAGATACACCGGTATGTTGACTACTGTGCAAGTACACAGTAGTCCCAACAGGATGTATTGAAAGTTAAGAATAAAAGTTGGTTATTTTTAGATGCCGTCATGTGACTGATGTATCAAAATGATTCACAGCCGAAGGGCATTGCGTAAGTTGTGGTCTCATTTCAGATCAAGCATCTGCCAGCTCCTGTTCCATGCAGTTTTTGCATGTGCAGCAATGCATCAGGGGAACAGAAAAAGTGAAATAAAACTACACAGTATAGTGTGTGCACAAAAATCAACCAGTGCCTTAGGTAGCATTGTACTCCTTAACATGGGTTAATGTTTGTGAAATGACAAAATGTACATGTACACTGTACCAACTTCTGGTGACACTGAGGCAGTTCATGGATACTGCAGTGAGAACATCTGTTATAACCACACAGAATTTGTCAAGACCAGCGGTTAAAAGCAACTAGATAAAAAATGTGATGAAATACTGGTACAGTTTATCGACCCCTGTTCAGGATATCCCTACTGTTGTAAATGTACATACATGGACATGTATACACATGTCCATGTATGAACATGTCCATGTATGTATACAATAAGGTTGAAATAATGTACGTGTATTTCTTACATGTTTAACAAACCGTTTTGAATCATTTTTTCTGTCAAAAAACTCTTTGTGCCCTCTAACCCAATTGTCAACATAAAACCCTGGTTTTCCATGAATTACAAGTTCTTGATCCTGGACCAGACAGTCTTCATACAAAGAACTATCATATACAGGCTGTATGTGTGGTTTTTGTCCATTAGTTGTGTTGCATAATAATGCAACATGTCTATTGTGTTGAAAAGAAATAATTCAATTTAAATTCATTACGATTAAATCTCTGGAGTGGTTCCAACCACATACCACTGTACATATGTACAGTATATGTAATGCACACATAATGCTTATTGTTTAAAATGATGATATGGTACCTTTTTGAAAGTGGTAGTTGTTGAAAATTTGAAATATTTGAAGCGCTTGGAATTGTTGTGGGTCACCCTCTGACCCCTTGTCACCCAACTGGGAACACTGGAAGAAATGACGTCACACATCAACACAGCATGCCAAGGCTGGGAGCAGTACCCACCAAGCAGGCCCAGAACCTTGTCAAGTTGCGACCTCGCACGTAGACCCTGTCAAGAGATTTATCTCAATGGATGTTAAGGGAACATCGACCAAGATCCAATACCTATCAAAAAGTAATTTTGGAAAGAGATGACCACCAAAGCACATGCAGGCCTACTTTACCTACAATCTATACATATATGCATTCTAAAGATGTTAATGTTGCAGGGTTGAAGATTATTTTGTAGAGGTTTATTGACTTAGATTTTACAAATTTCTGACGTTGGCAGGAAATAGTTCACAAGTTTTGTAGTTTACTGTCCAGCACCACATTACACAGCTGTTATTGTCCTACCGAATTTAAAACTGGAAATGAAGGACCGAATTTATCAAGGTCCACCACAAGCCATCCAGACTCAAGTCAAGTCACTATGAGTATGACATACACACCTGCTTTGTTGTTGCTTATCAGCTGTTATGAATTTGTGGCCAGATATTGTACAGAATTGTGCACAGTTTGACTGCTGATGGAATTGTATAAAAATGGAACAGTTCCACTGCTGTTTATACCAGACTTACATTTGTACAATAGTGCCCATCCACCCCCACCCCCTTGGATATAGATACATGTCTAAAGCTATTCTAGGAAACAGTCTTCGGAATGTATTAACAGTTAACCTACAGTCTGTAGTGATGGTTTAGTCTTGAATACAAGGATCTTGTCTCTGGTGTGTTGGTAGCAGTTACAAATAAGTTTTCGGAATTACTGCTCTTGACCTCAAAAATGTCTGGCCTGCCCTCCCTTTAAATTCCTGAGGCAGTCCAGGGCCCAAGCTGCCAGCTTCCCATGACCCATTGATCAGGGACACACCTACCCTCAGGCAGTGAAAGTGCCCCTTGGTAATCAACTTGGACTGGGGGTCGCACCCTCTGATCTCTGGGAGGACCCTCCATCAGCAAGCGTTGTTTTGTTGTGGGGGGGGGAGAGGTCAGGTAATAGTGACAGTGTAGGTGGCTGTGCCCTTGGGGGTGGTGATCGGAATCTGTACAGTGTAAGTGATTTGTTTACAAGTGCAACAGGTTGTTGGTTTACAAGGTGTCAACTTTAGCCGGCAATGCAACTGCAGGTGGTGGGGTTGCAGATAAATAGAATTGCTGGGATATTAATTGGCTGGCAAGCAGATTGCTCTCAGACCTTAGTCATGAATTAAATTGTGCTTGTTACTGGAGGAATAAGGAAGGGAATGTGGTACATTACTCAAGTTTGCTTTGAATGTTAGCTCAGTAACATACATGTATTTAGTATAGGCCGACCGCTGTTCAGAGTTACTGGAGTACTTGTAAGCTGTATTCATTCATGTCTTGGCCATCTTAAAATAAAATTTTAAAACTGAGGTAAAACTTTTCTTATTGGGGACACAAGTTGAAACAATAGCGATGGAATAAAACTACACTACTTCTTCTCAATTTTTGTGTAGAATAATTTTGAAATTGTGATAAATTATATCTAAATGTTTTAAGCCACATTTAACAGAGCACATTGAACATGATAAATTCATGGAACAAGACAGGAAATGGCTTCCCTGCGATTTAGACTTGTTCCAGTTGTGTTAGAGTTGGACTTCTAATTAGAATAGTTAACCTTTTAAAGTTACAACATACTGACATTTTTCTCTGTGTATGACAAAACATTTACAATAACATATTTATACATTTTGGCAAATAAGAAAGAAAATTATACTCCTTGAATTTCTGTATTAACGGCCACAGCATCTTCGGTCAGTGACCCAGGAGCTGATGTCACTTGGGCTATTAAAGAAAAAGACCCCAAGTCCACAGCCAGTCAAAAATTTTGATGTTGAAAAGACCCTTGTGAATACTCGCAGTATGTAGCCTACATGTACTGTGTAGTTGTGAACTTGAATTGTTGTCACCATGGGCACTCACTTCAATGAGCAGGTGCTAATCTCTCTCTGCTGGGGAGGGGTGGTGTGGCTTGGTACATGTATGTTGATGAAAGGGCAGGGGAACTTGGGTATTTTGAACAAGTTTCATGTACATGTACCATGTTACAGAATGGTTGTAGTGGATGAAGAGTAATTGGGGTCCCTACAGTGTATTCTTGTTGGGATCTGTAGATAAAATAAGAGTCATCTCCATGTGCAAGACACGTCAACTATTGACGCTTGTTCATTAAAAATCTTAACCCTCTGGAACTCACTTTGTAGAACTGATTTGGTAGGATGCTGTACATGTATATATGCAGGACTAATTCTGTAGCATTGTTGACTGTATACTGTTCTAGTACATACCGGTAGGGCCTGATGTGCAGAGCCCAGCTGCATTAGTTTCTATACGCATAGCTAAAAAATGTAATTCCTATTTGAAGAGTAAAATGTAAAGAGCATCTGTGTTCTAATTCATAAGAGGTAGATTTTTGAAGATTCAGCAAGTTTCTCTGCAAAAGTTTCTTTTACGGGTTGTTTTTAAGAAAGTGGCACTGAACATGCATAGCCACTCAAAATTTCACAAATGACCTGTTACTTCAAGGTATGTATGTAGACAGTGCAATTTACTTGCACTCCTGTGTTAGTCATAGAACTGAAGAATGCCTACCTATTGTACATTAACTCTTGGATGGGATTTTTCTCAAACATTCCCAAAGATTGTGAGATTGCACTTTTTAATCTTCCTTATCTGTGTTCTACCAGCCACCCTGGCTTGGGGGGGGGTCCCTTATCAAGTTCATTTGGCAGTGATTTCTTGTACTCCTACTGTAGGAACTTTGCAACAGCAGCCAGACAACAAAGCCCTGGACTGTGGCCAACTGTGAAGAGCTTTGAAGCTCTCCCCTTTACCCTTTTTTTGTTATGGCACATGCAGGGTATCTTAACAACCTTATGAGAAGAAAGCCCCTTTGTCAATCTTATTTCTCCCATATAGTGGACCTGTACATGTAATGTGTAAAATGCCTAAGGCAATAATCACACAAAGGCCCCTTGTTGCAATATCAACTGTGGTTTTTGCTTTTGACTCGCTCAAAGATTTACTAAAATGTCCAGTCATTGTGGAATGTTGTTGACAACCAGCTTGTCATTGGAAAAGTTCCTCTTTGCTATTTGCACAAATTACATTTGTATCCTTTTTACTGGGTGGTGAGGTCTGAAAACTTCAAATTGTTACATGTACTTGTAAATTCAGATGGTGGCTTTGAATATTTGCAGTAAAAGTAGATACTGGCAGGAGTTTGACCAAGGGACACAATTAAGTGATCTGTACCCCAATTTGTAAACCATACAATTACTCTGTAGCCTGTAGGGCCCTCTCCCTGAGTTATTGGTATTTACCACTCAGAAATTCCTGAGAGGTTTGGAAATTAATGCTGAGAAAGTGGGAGATAAATGTTTGCAGCTGAGAATCATGAGTTTAGGCGTGGAGAAATTCAGGCATACAACTTTTCCTCGAATCAGCTTATTTCCTCGTTTTTTACTTCAAACTCGTGCCACTGGAAATTGACAAACACAGTACAAAGTCCTGTAAAGATTGGAATTTCCTCCTTTTTTGTCAAAATCCAAGTTGCATGACTGATTTTTTGTCTAGAGCTAGGTCTTCGCTCCACTGGAAATGTGTGGAGAGGCGTAAACACTAGACCTAGCCGTAGCTTTTGAAGCCAATGACTGAATATCCAATGTACCAGTTGGCAAGTTGAAGTGTATTGATAGATGTACATTGTACATGTATTTTATTATAGATACTGTGATAATGGTAAACATTGGGGCTTTTTCAGGCATGCAACTTGGACTTTGACAAAAAACAAGGAAATTCAAATCTTCACAAGAGTTTGTATAGTGTTTTTCAATTTTCAGTGGCATGAGTGTGAAGTGAAAAATGAAGAAATCTGCTGATAGGAGGAAAAGTTGCATGCCCACTTTTTACAGGGAATAAAATGCATCAGAATCAACAAATAAATCACAGACTAAAACTTTTCAAATAGAATGCCTATTATTTTTCTTCCAGGGTTGAAAACTACAATTTGTCAGGCTTGTTTTTTCAAGATTTCAGGAGGGTTAACTGGATTGTTCCTAATTTTTAGAGTTAAAAATCATCCAGGTTTGGCTATTTTTTGCCCTTAAAAATAAAACTGTTGTTTACATGTATGTAGTCATGCCTTGTCAGCTCTGAAAAGCACTGAAAAGCGTTACCATTTAAGTTTGTCATTTACATGTATGTGTACTAGCAGCCCCATCTACTTGATATGTTGTAGATTTTCCTTTATCCCAAGTCTCATCGCAGTCCAACTTCTGAAAGTCTGACAATCTGATGTGGAAACATGCTCTGGAATTGGTCTGCAACTCTTCATATCCTTTGAATCCCTAGGTTTAAAATGATTTTGAGATACTAAGGAATACAAACCAAATTATTGACAGAAGATGTGGCAAAAGCTAAAAAAGTAAAAAAAAAACATTACAGCACACTAACAAGAAATCTCAAAACAAAATGCTGGCAACCAATCAGATGAGGTAAACTGGTTGCATGCATTGAGTGGTAGTTAGCACAATAATGATGGTCTGACTTAAGCAATTCAAATCAGGACTATGTGTATAAAAAAGAGAAGGAACTTGGAACAGTGCACTCTGCTTGTTGAACAAGCAGAGTAAATTAAATGTACAGTAAATTACATGTACATGTAGTATGCAAGGTGAACTGGTAATCTATGTACCCGGATCTTAGATTATCTTGGAATGTTAGGCCAGTGTGTCCTTGTCAGACTTGGTAATCCATGTTTAATCCTTGGCAAATCCCTTCCGTATTCAGGCTGGGGGAAAAGAGAAAAGAAAAGAAGAGAAAAAGGATTTTCCCAAGGAAAATGTGTTGGTGGTAAGTTATAAAAATACAAGAGAAGCTTGTACATATACAGTACATGTACCGGTACCTGTGCACGTGTAAAAGTTCACCATTCATCTATAGGGGGTCAAACTGGAAGTGTAACTTCTCTTTGAAGCTTGGTATTTCAGGGGCTTTTTGTTTCTAGATTGAATGAAAAAAGCAAGAATGGTATACCCGGTAAAAAGTTTCGTGTCAAGATCAAGATGTTTCATGTTTGCTCCAATGAAAGCTGCAGTTGTTTTAGGTGTGTACAAAACTCGGGACTCATACACGTACTGTACTGTTTGTAATGGTAGCTCTGTGACTTGTTCTGTGACTGATTGACATACATCAATGTACATGTATGCCTGTATTAAAAAGTCTTGATCTGATTGCACTTGGGTATGTTGTACTCGGTACCAGTTATATTGGAGGTGTGTGTACCTGTGCTATACAGGTACTGACGTTTGCTGTTCTTTTTGTAATACATACATTGGAAGGGGAACATCAAGCATGTGAAATTTATAGTATTTACAATATGCCAGTAGTAAGCAGTTTTGGTATCTTGGAGGGTAATTTACATGCACCTTTAAAAGGAATTGTAATAAAAACCTTTAAAAAACTAAAAGTGACAAGCTATTAAAACAGAACATGTTCAGCTGAAGTTTCATCTGTCAAAGCAAATATACAGCCCAAAACACTCCATCAATTCCAAGGATGAATGTGACAGGAAATTATTTTGGGTCACATCTGTTCAGTTTAAATGCAAGTGCTTCCTTCTTTGATTTGATTTGGCAGTGCAGCCAAAGATGAATTGCATCGTTAAAGAGAGAGAGGCAAAGATGGAACACTTTCCTTTCCTGCCACGTTACCATACATGTATGCCTAGAGATTGCCAGGAGTGATAAATGCTCTAATCTCAGTAAATCTCTGGATTTAAGGCAGAGCTTAGGCTAACAATGGTACTTGACTTCACACACAAGTGGTACAATCCATGCCACAAAAAAAGATTACAAGATGTAAGGTATTTGGTTTCTTTTCTGATGTGGTGAAAACCACAATTGCCCACTTCAGATAAAAAGGACAGCCTCTTAGTATAAGTAAACCTACATGTTTATGTTGTTAGGCTAGTACTTCTTGACAGAAGGGGTTGTTGGTGGACCAAAGTACAAAGTACATATGTGTGTGGAGTGAGTCCAAAGCCCATCCACTGTAGATCTCTCTCTAGAGAAACCATGGTCTTGAGATTAGAGCCCTAAAATCCCTAAAATCAAAGGAAATGTAGGATTTATAATATGGGCAATGCTCAGAAGATATCAAGAGCAAAGTCGGCAGACCTGTCACAGTTGTGTGGCAAACAAAGGACCCCTTTGTATTTCCTACTTGTTATTTGGTGAACTTTATGGCGATGTACTAGTACATTACATAAACGTATAAGGGATTATCAGATCACAGGTCCAGGCTTGGAAATTGAAATGCCCGTGCACCCTTAAAATTAACCTTCTGTCTTACATTTGTACAAATGTATGTACAGTGCTTGCAACCTGCACTTACAATGTCCATTTGAAGGTTAAAGAAAAATCTCCTTTTGCCTATAACTTGTATGGGTGGCCAAAGTTTTCCGAAATATCACCTTTTGGTTAGTTTTGAATTTTACCTCCAGTTCTTTCAAAATTGACAATTGTCCCTTTGATTTTAAATTGGGTTGTATTACTCACACCATTATCCAGTGTTCTGACACTGTGACAGCTGTGTGGAATTTGTAACACTTAATGAATTTTTCTTTTACTTTTGTACTGATGGCCAACTGTAGTTTTAGCAGCCACTTGTTGGAAAACACGACTGTGACATCAAAAGAACACCCCAGAAAGTGCCATGAGACCCACATTTCATGCACATTTGCAAGCTCCAAACCCCAATCTCAATGCCAAATTAGTTGCATCAGTTAATCAACTTGCTAAAAAGGAGGATGCAAGTGATGGGGGCTATACATGTATGTGTATGTTACATGTATACCCAGAGTTCTAATTTGGGAATAACAGTTCCGTTAAAACAGGGCAGAAGGAATCGGACATACCAGCAGTACTCTGATGCGCTGCCGTGTCTGTGGAGTATCCCTACGCATGCAGTATCCATTACATGTGCGTGTATTGGTTACATGGATGGGGAGGAGAGCTGTTGGTAAGACAGTAAAGGAAAAGGATTGACTCCACAACACTCCCTAGATTGGTCCACCTGGATCACAGTACCCTTTCCATGTACGCATATTCTAATAAATAATGTGTGATTGCCTTCAGACAATATTTATTGTGAATTAGGTTTCAATAGATTCACTTCAATGGGATGGGGATAAAATACCCCATCACATTGCTCATGTACATACATGTACACTGTAGGCCTAATTACATCACATGTACATGTACAAGAATGCATTAATGTGCTTTGGTGGGTGTCTTTATCTTTTGTGTTTTCCCTGGTTGTTCCCTTGCTCCGCATAAATTTGCTGTCAATTCAAAGTCTCATGCATACATGTACTTGTAGGCCTACACTGTATGAACATGTACATGAAATAAGTGGTTCCAAAACAATAGCGTTATATTACACAGAACAGGCCACTTGAAGAGTTGCCAAATTATTAGTTGTTGATGAAACACATGTCAGAATCCAAGCTGAGGTCAAGTGGATCCCAGCTTGTTGATGTGGCGCAGTTAGTTTAGTAGCATTGCATCCAAAGCAGGAAATAAAACCAAGCATTAATTTTTTCCAGGCCCCCCCCACCCAGTAGCACTGTGCCATTACGGTGAAAGTGTGTTTGGGCAACTGTTGGGGAAATTTTATCTAAGACACTGATACCACAGAGGCAGGAAGCGAGCGGAGGTTTGGGGGGAGTCAACATGGGCAAACTGCCCAGTGATTCCTATGCTGTGATACTGCTTAAGACACACAAACATAACTCGGCACCACCATGAAATACCGGTGCTTTCCACTGTTTTGGCAAGAAGTTTCACTGTTGCATCACCAGGAATTGGGGATTCAGTGAGGGTAGAACTTTCCTCTGCGCAAGAACTTCGATGAGCTCAGGAATCTCCATGATGGCCTTCCTTGTTTTTCTGCGAAATGCAAAGTGTTTTAAAATTAGGGCCCATGTGGTGACTATCGGAGAGACTCGCTTTCTTCCCACCCTCAAAGATGACTGTCGCCTCCTGGTACATGTACTCTTTCTCAAGAGATACCAAAGCACTTTTTTGCCAGCAGTGAAATTCCCTCCGCAACAGAAATGGCCGTTTACATTGTATACAGTGTAATTTAGACGTGAGATACATGTACATACATATGAACACTTACATGTACAAAGTATTGTGGACCCATTTGGACAAGTTTTTGTTGTTGGACTTAATCCATAAGCCTACTAGTACGGTACATGTAGGCCTACATATTATATGTATGTCAAAAATGCTTGAAAATCCATTGAAATATTTTTTATTTATAAATGATCCCCTGTACATACACTGTACATGTACATTTACTTGTAAGCATACTATAAAGCATACATACATGTACATGCATGCAAATGTATGTATTCTAATTTACTGATTAACTTCCTGCTTCACAAGTATTGGTAGATCGTTTGTGATCTTTTCATCCCTGGCACAAAACAAGCTACTCACTTTCAGCTGCCCACTGGAAATTTCCTTTTTCTGAGGAACATTGTATACATACCAGTAGATTCCTTGGAGTCAAGTTTCCTTGTACATTAAAAAAATTACACTTTACAATATGAAGTTTGTAGCCCAAATTATTAGGGTGGGATGATGGTTAGCTTGGGTGTGTTTGTGTGTGTTTGCACTTGCTTGTTGTAACCAGAAACACCATTTTTGGGATCTTTTGAATTTGGCCTGATTAACCTACACTCATTTGATGCATACATAATGTACATTAAGTAGAGACCCATCTTGTCTGTCCTCATGATGATAAAAGTTGGTAGGAATGAGTGAAGTTGTGAAATTTGAGGAAAACTGTTTTTGTTCTACCGGGTGTATGTAAACTTTTTGTCCCAACTGTATGTCAAATGTATTTTCTGGCACAGTGTACCAGTACATGTACATGTACATACATGTAACCTGTACAGTTGTGTTATGCAGATCCCTGCATAGTGACTTGACTTGTTTTTGATGTGTGTGTACAGAGCAAACACGAAACAGAAACTTAAGCATAAAACAATATGAGGATGCAGTTGTGTTCATATGCAGAAGCTACATGTTCCGGTACATGTACAATTTACAAATGTACATAGTGTATGCAGAAAATAACCTGCAGATTTACATATACATGTAAGTGAACGCCCATGTACCTGCAGATGAATGCATGTTAGTTACAATGTATGTACATGTACACATACGCATTTAAAAACTACATGAACATTTATACTTAAATAAATAAATTCCAAAAATCTGAAGTACATGTACTTCAGGGGTGTGAGGACTCAGCTTTTTAGCTGATTTCGTCGTTTTTGTTTTAGATGTTGACCCTGAATTCAGCTTTTTTGTACACCTGGTCTGTACAAAAGTATGGGGCCTTTTTGTATTTCAGCTTTTTGCTAGCTGTTTTCAGCTTTCTTTTTAAATGACCACTGACCCCCCCCCGGTACTAGCACGTGTAATAGAATTTGGGCATCGAGTAGTTTGTGTGCTCATTCCCTTTCCAGCTTTTGGTGGTTTGAGGGGGAGGGGGCACATTCAAAAGGAAATGCAGCTTTGAGCTCATTTAACATGATGTTGGGGAGAAAATACAAAGCCTTACTCCTTCAATGTCCCGACATCCTTGCTTTTATTTACTGGTGTTGTTTTCTCAGTGTTTTGGTGCTAAAATTTGATAAATATACGGACTACTTTCTGTCCGACTCACCTTTACAGTTTTCTTTGTGTAAACAAAAATCTGTTGGGGTAGTATCGGTAGATACCTGGTACTATACATGTAGGTTTCAAACGTTGATGCAATGCATTGAATTGCTTGTAACCTTTCAACAGGTACTCAAAAGTCTCAGCTGTCAGTGAATGTTGATTGTTTTGCCCAAAGAATTGTGAATTTGCTGATCATTTACTGAGTGTTCTAGCCTTTGTTTATGTACGTGTAGCTCTGTACATATGTACATGTAGCCTAGACATTTCGTAATGGGAAACAAGAAGTGAATTACACAGCAATATCACCGGTCCATCACCAGTCCTGTCATAAATTCAGCCGGAAGTTATTTCAAAAGACCAAGTGCTTGGGTAATGGCAATCAAGGAATGCTTTTGACACAGTTCACAAAATTGGCTTAGCCTCTGACTTGACTTGGGACTGGAGAGATTTTAAAGCCCCCGATGCCAAACTACCTATAGACTTTACTGTGAAAGTGAGATTACACTAAGAGAATGAAAGAAACAATGGAAACTTGGTAAACCAATTAAACTCATTGGAAAAATTTCTTGAAGGTTTTGTTTAAATTAAAAAAGAAAAAAAAGAAGTCCACAAGATTGCTTGAAGTTAGAAACCGGTAAAAGAGTTTAACTTATTTAGGTTAGCTAAACAGAATGAAATTATTGCACAAGAGGGTCCCAGCAGTTGGGGTGAATTGCCCATTACCCATGTCAAGTGATAACAACCTCCTGTCACTCTTTGAGATCATACTCTGCATGTCCATTACATCAGCCAGGAAGAGCTTTAAACCATTATTTTTGTGAGAACCAACTAGCTTCGGCAAAAGTTGAGGTGTGTGCATGTACATGTACATGTATGTACAGTACGCGGTACGTGCAGCATTGGTATCGTTCCTTATTTTTTCACTGTGACTGTGACCTGTTGGGTTTGAAAGCAGGTCATCCGTGCCCACTTGAGGAAAGAAGTGATGAAATGTGGTGTACCATGGATAACTCATTTCCTATGTACATGTATGTTTAGACAAAGCATGGCACAGCACATTGTAGAAGTGTGAAATGAATTAAAATGTGACACATTCTGGCAAATGAGACGGAACTTGGCACAGGTATTTTGTTAGTGAAGCATGCAAGAATACAACCTGGGTTAAATTTGTCTCAGTTTTCCGACTCACTGATATTTTGGAATCTCATATACAGTAAGTTGTGCACTAACATTTTAAAGAACAGTATAAAATTATGGAACAAAAAAGAGTGAATGAAAAGCACTTGGTCACTTGTATTGGTGCTTGCCCAAACGCAAAGCTAAAATGTTACATTTTGTATCATCAGTAAAGTCAAACTTGACATACAAGTGCCTTGTGCTCGCACACAACCTTAACTTGTTGACAGAGTGGTCAATTGAACTGCAACAAAAAGAGTTATGTGCAGAATTTTAATATACTCAAACCAGCAACCCTCATGTTGACCTCTACCTTTGTGTCTTGTTTTGCTTTCTCATTGTTCAGAATATGGGTGTCAATAGGTGGGGGAGAGTGGGGATGTGTCCTCACCACTTGGGGGGGGTGTGAATATCATGTATGTTCCCCCTCCTTCACTTTTTCCCCACTTACATGTACATACATGTACCTGCACGGTACATGTATGTGTGACATTTTGAAAGAGAAAGATTATTTAACAATGAAATGAATCTCGCAGAAGCAGTTGCTATTAAACGATTTTGGTTAAAGTGGTCAGAAAGTGTCTGAGATTGGACCACAGAACATCTACAATCCAAACTTCCTGGGGTCCTTAAGTGGGCCCTGGATCCTATGTTGCTAGGGCTTCGTGCTGCATGCTAGCATTAGTTCTGATCAAGGTTTCCATGTGACTTTTGAGAAAAGATTGACACTCCTGGTTTGGAATTAGAACTCCTTTATGCTCAAAAACAGTCAACCTTCAATCAGAGAGCAGGTTTAGTGGCAAAATGACAGTTTCTGAGCACTGTACATGCATGTGTACATACTGTACATCGTATGTATATACATAGGTTTATTATAACTGGAGAATGCATCGAGAGTTACATGTAGCTGGTACATGTATGTTGCCACAAAACCCATGCATGGGGTTATCTACTTACAATAATAGAGCTCCATGCTACGAGTGAAATACAAACTTGCATGTGCAATACGTGTAATGTACATGTAGGTCGGTTCCTGATTCATATGCTGTTAAATTTTGAAAGAAATGGGTGGGAACAAGTTTAGAAGTGATCACTTGTGCTTTCACTGGATCATTGCATGCACTAACCAGGAAATAATTTGTCCTTACAAACAAGCTGCATTTATGGTGAAGTGTTTCTTCCACCAGTTTGTTGCCTTTATAAACACCTTTTCCCCTGGTCTTGGCTGTTTGTCTCCTTCTTTGACTTTATTTCGAACTCCACTCTCAGTTTCAATTCATGGGAGCTGATGTGCATTGGATGAATTGCAAATTATGGAGCAACTCCGGGCCGGGGCTGAATGTGTCAACCATTATAGCAGCCTGAAGCCAAAGATGGAAACAAAGCCAAGATTTGGGAAACTCCTTGGTGCCATGCCCATGCTCACTCCTTGCTCTAACAGGCCATTTTCCAATTCTCTGCCGAGTTTCTGGCTTGATGTTCACCCCAACTCCAGAGTCGTTTCCAGACACTTGCCTGGTGAACAAAATGAAAACAAAAAATTTATGAGCAGTTGGCCTGACGTCAGGGAAGCCAGTGAGCTAGTGATTCTCATTAATGGCCCTAAATCAACAAAACTGAAGTTCAGACCTGGGAAACGGCCAAGTATTTTCCCGTGCAGGGCTTGTTTTTACAATTTTGTTGATGGAACTGCCCATGTATGCACAGGTACATTTACCAGATATTTCTGACACTTTGTGACTAAAATACTGTGGCTCCAATTGTAGTGGTACCACACAAACACTAAACATTCCACATCTTAGATTGTACACATTCGACACCTTGGAAATCTGCTTGGGACACTGGATATATAGTGTATTGACACAAAACCGGAAAGTCATTGTGCACCGGTTTTATTTTTTTGGGGGTGGTGAACACTGGGTTTATAAAATTAAATGCTGGCTGAAAAAATTTGGCACAAGGCCAAATAACAGTCCATCCTGTTCAAGCTCTCCCCTTCAAGCTCTCCCAGACCAGTCTAGCAGGGTTGCAAAAGTTGGTAAGTTTTCCAGCGCTGTCTTCCTCTTTGTCCAAGTTCAACTTCCTTCTACATCCCACTCTGGGGCCATTAACAATTATTGCCAAACGGACTTTGATGGATAAAACACATGCTGACTCTGCGTGCTGTAATACTTTGTGGCATGTGAGCAAATGCACTGAGCCTTGAATGCCCGCTTTGTCAAAACTGCCATGTGCCAAACATGTTCTGATACATGCGGGTAATGCAAAAAACAGTATTGTTTGAATTTGTGTTGATTTAAAATTATTTCCTCAAAGTTACCATACACGTACATGTACATGTATGTACAATGTTTGCAGGCTGCATATAACCTGGTCATACATGTATGATTATGGCCTGTATTATCAAGCACACGTACTTGGTATCTGCCCAAACTACACTTTAGGCTTTTTCACAATAGACAAATCTCGGGGTTGACGCAGGGTGGAAGCAGGGTTGAAAATGGGCGGCGATTCACACTTGAAACATTTCAACCCTGCGTCAACCCTGAGATTGACTTCAACCCGGCTTGAATTCAACCCTGCTTCGGACAAGGGTTTAGATTTTCAACCCGGGTTAAAAATTGTTTGTGCTCATTTCGGGGTTGAACTCACCCAGATAAGCCTAATCCACGCAAAACAAGTGTGAAACAATGCTGGGTTGAATGCAGGGTTGCCAAGGGCTCGCCCAGGGTTGAGTTCAACCAGGGTTGAGGGGCTGTAGTGTGAAAAGGCCAGGTGTGGTTAGATTGCTGCAAAAAAGACTTAAATTTGGCCCTCTGCATTAATTTCTTTGTTTACTGACACAGTGCACCAAAATTCAATTTCCTGAAATCAGACATTCAAGCCAGTCCTAATATTGTGATGTAAATAGCTGCCAACAAAATTAACAAAGAAAATGTTAAGTTTGTGAATATGATTTCATAAATATTGTTGAGTTTATGAGTATAAATAAGTAAATGCATACATGTATATTTTGAAAATATGTACTGCCTGTGGTTGGAATTTGTGGCATTACATTCGAATGATTTCTCAACTGCACATGGGATCTAGCAAAATGTATTCTGTGTGTTTGTCTGCCATGAGGCTTTGCTGTTCTCAGACCCAGCTGAGGGATAAAGTCAAGAGTAAAGGAAATTCAGAAAACAACTCAATGATGAATTCCCAATCCCAAGTTATTTAGTTGAAAAAGGTACAGTGTTAGGTTGCATTTCTGCAGAATTCTCTTTGTCATTTCTCCATGGCAACACCGTCGCACTTTATGCCCTGACCTCCGAAAAAAGAAAAAATCTAATTTCTCTGTCAACTCCACAGGAGTTTTAGTGACTGGAGCGTCAGGTTATCTGGGCTCCCACATTGTCCAGCTGGCCCAGAAGGCAGGCTACAAGGTGAGGGGATCAGTGCGGGACCCCGAGGATGAAAAGAAGGTCAAGCACCTCAAGACGCTGTGCCCAGAGGCTGCCCACGAGGTGGAACTGGTGAAGGCGGAGTTACAGGATGCAGACAGCTGGAAGAGGTAGATTATAGTGTCTGCGTTTTCTCTGTCATTGTAGTTTTGCCTGTCGTTAGAAAGTAAAACTATGGGCAGGCCTTTAAAAGTAAAAGGCCTCAGTGGAAAGCAGTGCTTTGCTCTGATGGAGCTTACCCTCATTAAAAAAGACTTCAATAAATAAGTAAATAAGTAAATAAAAATAATAAAGAATGATATAGTACATGTATTAAAAATGATCTGACAACCTTCAAAATACCACATAATATAAAAATACCACTGCTTAATACTTAATACCCTCTTTAAAAGTAATTCGGCAAATGAACAATTTGACGGCAAATCTGATACCAAAAGATGTTAGTATTTCTGCAAACTACATGTATAGCTGCAACACGAGAATTGTTCACACAGGTTTGGCAGTCACGCAGTCTCACAAAATGGCTAAGTTAACTCTCACCAGTTTTGACTTTAGTTGTATTCTCATCTTGAAGGCACTTAAAGTTTCAATTTGGTGAAAATGCCATATAGGTATTAACTATTTTTTAAAATACAGAATAGAAAAATTTTGAAGATATTAAAGGTGTTGTGAGAATGGAAAAAACACATCCATGGAATACGGGCATAGTTTGGTGAAAATTTGGCAATTCTGGATAGTAGCCAAAATTTGATGAGATTCAAACAAAGATGGGTTCTGCCATTTCCCATCTGACTTTAAAACCGAAACTAACATTGCTACTTTAAAGGAGAATGCATAATTTCTCTCTGGTTTATGCACAAAGAAAAGAATGACCAACTTACATGTACATGTTAAAATTGACATACGTCTTCACTTTGGCTCATTGGTATATTTCAGGGTCAGATTTCTGACTTTTGGCTCATTTTGCTTAATCATACCACAAACACATACATGTACATGTAGGCATACATAAACACAATGTATGCATGAGACTGTGAAACAGGGAGCTTGGGTGGCATTGCTCTCTAGCGTTCAGGCAAAATGGGAAAATCAGTTACGTAGGTAGATCCTCACAAAGCAATTACAGGTTGTGTTCGTAATTCCTGCCGCGTAATGCATTTCAGTCTGTAGAAGCAAGATACATGTAACCTTTTTGTGTTTTAGCCATATTAGAGAGCAAAGTGTAGTACTAGTACTGTACATGTACAATGTAATTTCATGTTTTACTACCAGCACTTCGGAGGATGGGGAATGAGCACAGGCAGCTTTTACCCATTATTTGTTTAAGCCAGAAAAAATTCATTTCACTGTTGCATCGAACGTTGTTGCATACTTCATATAACCCTGTACATTTACATGTATGTGGGCAGAACACATTGTACCGAAGCGGTACACAGTAACATCAGAATTCCAGATCTGATTGCACAGCTCTGATTTCACCAATGGTATTTGACTGTTTTTGATATCAGTTTTTGAATAGAATGTCATGAATGTGCAGTTGTATGGGCTTTTTTTTCTCTTCCAGGCATTCCTGAAAAGTAAGCCATCTGCCCCTAGATAGCTCTTTGCATACTTCATATGAACCCAGCCTCCTTCAAACATTATTCATTGGAAACATGGCCCCTTTGCTGGACTTGTACATATAGCTTTTTCCTGTACCCTGTACCGTAGGGTCGTGGACTTGGAGTTTATCTCGTGAGGAGATTCGATGATAACCTTGTGCAGGTTTTCAGGGCTTCTCATCAAGGAGGAAACACTGCAGTTATACGTACTTGTGCACTTAGGCCTACAGATACATGCCCTCATTCACCAATCCTGCTTACCCAGCATTCATTATACATGTATTTTGAGCAGGCTATCAGATTTGTGACTAATTACACATGTATATAAGTACTCATAGACAAGTGTTTTTGTTACATTGGATACATTGTAAATTACCAAGTTAAATGTATATCACAGGTAATTCAATACAAGAACATTGCAGTATTGGACATAATGCACCTTTTCAGCAGTAGTTGAGTTTTTCCATTACGCAGTTTAATTTCAGCTAGCAATCTTTAGTTTGTTTTTACATAGATCATTGGATTTCTTCTATCCTTTTTCCTCATCCTTACAGTGCTGTTGAGAGTTGCACATATGTGATTCACACAGCCAGTCCATTCCCATTTGCTGCGCCGCGCAACCCAGACGATGTGATCAAGCCGGCTGTGGAGGGCGTGACCAACCTTCTCAAGGCCTGTGTGGAAGCCAAGACGGTGAAGCGTGTGGTGCTGACCAGTGCTGGGCTTGCCATTTGCGGTGAGTCACACAGCTCTGAAATCCTTCTGTGGCATTTTTAAACATCTGGATTTTGTAATGGTGGGGTTTCTCATCAAATTCCTCTTCATTTGTCAGAGAAATACAGAATGGGACTCCCTGACATCTAGAATCTCCCACCTCAACCGCCTCCCCCCCATAGTAACCGCCTCCCCCCCATACCAACCGCCTCCCACACCCACACCAACCCCAACAGCCTTCCAGGGTCTGATTTGTCGTCCAACTTATTTCCCCATCCCTGTCAAAGGGGCTATCATCTGAGATTGTCTAATACATTTTTAAACAATTGTGCCAAGCCTTGCAACCAGTGTCTTTGGGTCAATTTAACACAAGTTTAACATAAATCTGAGCGTTCTCACCAACTGTTGGTTTGTGCAAGAGTCGCACACCACCTCAGTTTAACAAAGAAGGGATAAGGTAGCTCAGCTGCACCACTGCAATCAGGTCATCTGATATGAAATCAGCTGATGCTTCTACCACAAGTCTCATTACCTTATACTTAACATGTAAATCCTTCCCCTCACCATCTTCAACATTCCAGGCTCACGCTGCCGAGCCGCATGCCTTGGGGCAGCCACCAGAGACCAGGTTCCAAGCTGAAATACTGTTGGCGAAGTCTGGGGTGGACATGAGTATCAAAAGATCGAAGCTGGGTTGTCTTGTGTGTGGCATCATGGGGCAAGCCCTCTCCCCTCCCCCTGAAAAATGCATAAGGACCAAAAAAGGGAGAAAAAGCAAAAGAAAATTGTAAAAAATAAATGAAGGAGGATAAAATCACTGATTTGCATGAACAACGTCTGCATTCACCCCTTTTCACTGTTAATTATTTTATCGGTTTGGAGCTGATCAGTGTCCCGTCCCTTTCCCCACAAATTAACCCCCCCCTATAAAGTGGTTTTTCACCCTAAGAAAGCCTAGCAATGCCCACGCACTTATGTAAGGAATACTGAAGCATCAGCTGTGGCTCTGTGGTCTGCAAATGCCATTTACAGTGTTTTCTCTACACATGTTCATGTACATACGTATTCAACCTATTTACTACAGGTACTTTAAGAGGTGTGGAAGTGTCAGAGAAGGACTGGCCAGAGACGGACAAGCTGGATGCCTATGCCAAGAGCAAGACGTTAGCAGAGAAGGCAGCCTGGGACTTTGTCAAGGAGCTCAAGGGTGAGTTTAGGCCCTCCTGTTCCTAATCAGGAACCTTGAACCTGGTTGACGGAAAACTGCATGCGGTGCATGTGTTAAGGAAGAGATACACAATTCTGATCCAGCACACATGAGCGTGAAATTTGCAAGGTGCGAATGGCCAGCCAGTCGTTAAAGTTAATTATTTTATCAGGGGCAGTTCCACACGTTTTGGTGCTCCAAGAATAAAATAGCCATATGTTGCAGTACATTTTTATACAATTTAAAACAGCTGTTAAAAAGATCATCTTAGTCTATTTTAAAAATGTCTAATTTTAATCACCTTACTTGCTATTTCCTTAGTAATTTCATTGATCTTTCTCTGTATGTGTGTATTTCCCTTTCAATGACCCTAACGGAAATGAGCAGATCCATAAATACTTGTTTAGATTATTCTTGGCTTTGTAATCAGTTCACTTTTGATGTACATGTATTAACTTGTCCTTTGGCTTGTTTATATTTGCCCAAATAAAATACATTAATTAAAATCAAATTCAAGAGGGTATTAATAATAATTTTCGTTTTTTTGAATGCGTGTAAGTCTGACCGTCATTCCCCAGTTTTGTTCTTTAGAAGAACACACTTGTACATGTAACTGTGTAGCCCCATACACTACATGCTTTTTGAAGTGAGTTTCTTTTGTTAACCACTTCATGCTGAGGCATTTTTCAATGTTGAGGATGCTGGGCCGGCATAATTATCATTTTTTTCCGTTTTCAAAATTCTTCAAAAATTCATCATTTCATTTAACAGACGTTTATAGCCGCACGAAGTAATCTTTAGGCACTACTCTAAGTTGACAGGTGACCTTCATTGACGCCCGAGAATTTCAGCCAGGCCTGCAGCCTTGTAAAACGAGCCCAGATTATGCAGTGTTATGTAACTTTCTTTTGTTCACGAACCTGGCTCAATGCTCTGCTGACCTCTTTTCAATAGGGGCCAGATTAGCGTGCAACAGTGCTGTGTGGCTCATCGCTGCGGTGGTGGAGAGGTTTTGTCCCCCGTGGTAATCCGCTCGCTCTAAATGCCCCAAACCCTGGTATATGGTTTCAAAACAAGGCTGGATTATCACCACTTTCGAGAGTGAAAAAGTTGATAATGCCCAGCAGCCAGGTTTTTTGTTTGGAGTACAGTCTTTTGTTACAGGTCCCTGTTTCCTTTGTCCGAGTTCGGAGACCCCGTCCAGGCATATAAAGCATACGTCTCCAGTTTCGGAGTCCCCGGCATGAAGTGGTTAATTTCTGAAGTTATTTTCTGATTTTAACTTATTTTTAGGTCTAGCCACTTTCTGGAGCTCTTAAAGGTGATGAACCTGTGCAGCCTCAAATGTACCGTTATAAAAAAATTGTTGTTCAGAATTCAAAGAATGGATCGTTATTTACAATGTGTTGCCACAAAAGTTCTGATTCATGCAACCCTATTGGACGTTTCTTGAAATCATGTATAGCAGCTATCTTCTTGCTACAGATGAGGAGAAATTTGAGCTAGTGGTCTTGAACCCTGTCTCCATGCTGGGCCCAGTCATCAGCACCACCATGTGCACCAGCATCGAGCTGATCAAGCGGCTCCTGGAGCGTAACCCCATGTTCCTTCCCAAGATGAACCTGCCCATGGTGGATGTGCGTGATGCCGCAGCAGCCCATATCAAGGCCCTGACGATACCGGAGGCTGCAGGTGAGGTCATGGGAACACACTTATAATTTGTCAGCTCAGTGCCAAAAGGTCATTAGGGCAAAAATGTAATATTTGAAAATACTCTTAGGGCAGTACTCTGAGCATGAAAGAAATATTTTATTGAAATAGACTACCTTTTAAAAATTTATTTATAAAACTAGTTGTTTGGCCAATATATCTTAATTTCAACAAATTTTCCTGCCCAAATTCATGTTTATTTTTTCAGTAAGGACCTTTTAGCACTGACACACCAAATTAATAATCATACTTTATTCATTTATCAAGTTCAAATGTCATACTGCTATGTTCAAGTGTGTTGTACATAAAAGACATCCGTCAGTTTGACTGGTCAACATGTCCAAGCCAAAGGCATGTAGAGACTGTAAGTGGTCATTTTTGCTGAGAGAGTTAAACTGGAAAACCGGGAGAAAAAGTTGCATGGCACTGGAGACAGCCCAATGAGCAACCCTACTTATATTAGTGTTATGAAATTTAATTACAAATATGGCAGCGTGAATTGCATGTGATCTTACAAAAAACGAAATAAAAAAAATTATAAAAGGAATACATTTAGTGACACTAACCTGTTGAAACTATTGAAACATATGGATTTTTAAAAATTATATATGGCCCAGGCCCGGAAGTTGAACCTGAGAGTGAGACCTTTCCATATCGTACTGCCAGTAGTCTCCCCTGCCACCATGCTTTGTACAATGAACCCTTAATGTATTGAGTGATGTTCTTGCCTCAATATCTCACTCAATACACAAATGGTGTTCAAGTCACTTGGCTACGACTTACTGTTTATACACACATCAGTTGGAAATGGCTGTGGCTTACAGTGGCCTCCATAGATGCACATGCTATCCTTAAGCTCATTGGGCTGCAACTGTTAGTGACAAATCGCGAACGGCATCCCTGAAAGAGTTTCCAAGATGTCTTGAAACATTCGCAGGGGTTCTCAATTTCCTCGCTTGAGTGGCTGGGTCTTGCTTTTGTGTTGCGGGAATTTTTAACATGTTCAAAAAATTTGTCCAACAAATTTTCTCTCAAAATAGTCACAGAGTCGTCACAGGTGTCTTAAACCCTTTTCTGTTTTAATAGTTTCTGTGAGTCAGAAAGTGCGAGAAATGTGAAACAACTTTGTGAGGGGTGCGACCTATGAAACAAAACTGGACTGATTGAATACAAAAATGACAATCAGACATTCCAGTCGCGGAATAGGCATGAATGTTATGCTACAGTTGCACGACATGTATGTGAACTCCATGCGAATACTGGTCGAAATTTTGCTTGGAGCTCGTGCGGCATACACAAATGTTTTGCAAGTACCAAATCAGTGTGAGTCCAAGTGAAAATTGTCACTAGATTTGCGGATTATCTTGCAATTCTGTGTCACCAACTAATCGCAAGCTGTCACAGCCCAGTGATCCATATACCCCTGGTCAGCCCAGTTGGTATCTAACCCTGCTTGAAAAAGCCTGTGTGTTTAACATATACACATTGGTGACAACTACCTGTAGGCCTACCAAACTGACCACAAGGCAGTCAGTATTGTCAGCAACCAATATGATTTGAGAGTCTTTAAGGGTAGTCCCCTTCCTTATATGCATGAATGTGGGATCAGATCTCCACTCTAATGACAGGGAAACAGCCCAAGAAATGCACTTTGAAATCAACACAGGAAGAACAAGAATAGCACACCGACATTAAGTCCGCACATACATGCAGCATGTTTGCCTGTGCTAGATATCTCATTCGCTCTTGCTCAGTCTATCTTTCTGCCGTGTATAACTTTGGTCTTATCTGTCTCTTACTTAATGTTTTTAGATATTTATACGCCGTGACCTTTTTTTCCCCCTTTTTGTTTCAAAGGGAATCGTCACATCTTGTGCACCCAGAACATGTGGTGGTCAGAGGTTGCAGCCATCTTGAGTGCTGAGTTCAAGTCACAGGGTAAGAATGGACAGTGTATTACCAGATGCTTTGTTATCAGACAAAAGGAGAAATTGCACCATAACTGTCTCCACTTCTCTATATGGAGTACCAAAGTGTGACGTCATTTAAACCAGGAAGTGTAGCACAAGCGAATGGAGTATGCATGCATGTGGGTTGACACACTGGTTCTTGCGCTAATGCCTTTCATATACATAATTACGTATGTGTGACGCTACCATTGTATGTACTCTATAGAGGGTGTGCACGGCAGCATTCACGTTCCTTCACTAGCCCCTGCTCTTGTAGAATATGTAAATGATGCTGACTGGCTACTTAGGATGAACATGCATACGTTAAGTGAATTGCATGCATATTTCAAAAGCTATATGCTTGCACCCAGGTATTCTCCTGCACATCATGCATGCGTAAATCTGCATCGCACGTAAACACATCAACTACAGTCCTAAGTTAGATCTCCCATATTGTGGGATATTTGAATTACACAACACCAGGGGTTAAGATCTTGCAAGGCATGTTATGAACCAACATGGCACGGCAAGATTATACCCATAGGAATGAGGTTGCACATGAGTAGACCTTTTGTGCTATCCCTCTGTAATAAAAGTTGTTACCGGAAAGCCGGTTGCCATGCACAACCTCTGTGGGATACAAATTTAGTTGGTTACTTGTTGCTACCTGTCTCCAGAACAGTCTTTTGTAAAACTTTAGACCTTTTGCTTGGACGTAAAAAGGGTCACCCCTGTACATCATGTATGTGTCGTAATAGATGTCAATGAATTGGTCATTGTGAACAGGGTTTGTTGTTAATCATTTGGATTCCAGCAGGATTTGCTATTTTCTTTCCAAAGGTTACAATGTCCCTTCCATGGGGGTGCCCAAGGCAGCCGTTAGTATGGCAAGCGTCTTCAAAAAAGATGCCAAGCAGGTCCTTCCCATTTGGAACAAAACGACCAAGTTTGACAACACAAGGGTGAGTAATCTCAGACAGTGGACTTTTCTGACAGAAGTCAGGGAGACAGTGTGTAAGCTTGAGATTTCCAAGAGGCAACCAAGAATATGGCCTTTTGCTTCAAGCCAGGCTTTAGTCCATCCCTGATAAGTTTAAAAATGTGACCTTCAATTTCAGTTGGCCTTCACTTTTCAAAGGAAACCTTGCCTCTTGAATGAAATTCTTGGGCTATTGTTGACAATACTTTATGATTTAATGTCTTGTATACTTCGATCAAAATTTGAAATGGAACATTTTATGTTTGCTGATGTGCTGCATAGATGAAAGAAGTTCTGCAGATGACAGAGCCACGAGACATGAAGATAGCTATCATTGAAATGGCTTACAGCATCATTGAAGGTGGCTTTGTCAAGCGTAGCAAGAAGTATCGAGGAGAACATGGCAAGGAAGAGGGAGCCGCCAATGGCCCCACAAAGAATGGAGAGATCAAGGAGGACAGCAAACCCAAGGAAGACGGGGAGGTGGTGACCACAGGGGATAAAGAGGAGGGGAAGGGAAAGGAAGGAGAAGCAATTGCTGAGGGAGAAGCCAAGACTGGAGATGACTCAAAGAAAGAAGCTGATGGCGATGCCAGCGAGGAGAAAAAAGAGGCACCAGCGGCTGCAGTTTCAGAGAAGGAAGAAGGAGATCCCGCTTCTGCCACCGAAGGAGAGAACAAGACAGATGAGGCCAAGGAGGTGGAGAGCAAAGCCAGCACAGAGCCAGCCAAGGAGGACAAAGCTGAGGAAGCAGACAACAAGGAGGATACCCCAGAGGAAAGCGGGGATAAAGAGGCAGCAGCTGAGAGCAAGAAGGATGAAGTAGAGGTAAATGGAGAGGTGGATGCAAGCGGCGATGCCGCAGCAGCCGAGTAGCAGATTTAATTGCGTAGCAGCTTTTAAAAGTATAATTTGGGTCAATTTTACAGCAGTACTCTGGTAAGAAGTACTGTTTTGGATGCATTATGTGCTAGTCGTTGCTTCAGCCACATTAAGCAACAATATCAGAAACCAACTTGCTGTGGTTTCAAATGTGCCTGGAGAGAGAAAAAAAGATGATGCCATTAAGTGCCATTAAGAAAAACACGTGGAATTGCCTTGCAAAGTCTGAAAACAAAAACAAATTTAAAAGTAATGCTTAGACATTTTTTTAAAATAGATTTATTGGTGCTGTGTACATAGCGTCATTACTGGAGATGAAAAGGAAAGGAAGGAGATAGGGCTATTGATAGTTGTAGAACTCGTGTGCACAACAAAGAGAGAAACTCTTGCTGGTTTGAAAGCTGATTAACTCACTCCCTTAGCCCCAACTCTCCTAGTTTCTTTAAAATCCACCGGGAGGATTATTAAAGGATTGTGTGAGGTTTATATTGCTTGATCACTACATCTGGAAAAAAGAGGGCACTGTTAGGTCCTGACACATTGGAAATTCCTAGCAAAACTGCATTGCAAGGAGAGGCTGAGCAAGGCCAAAGGCTTTGATGAATGAATGGCGGCCTGGCAATTCCCAGGGTATTAAATTTCATCCTGCACAAGGTACAGAAGTTCAGTAGGTATAAATACAAATTTGTGTGTGCACAAACCTTACATGCCTGGTGTAGACCTGTGAACAAGAGGTCCACATCATGCAGGTTGTGAGAACCTTGGGTGGAAATAGTTTTCCTAGATCAAGAAAAAGGAGTATTTTTACTGAGTTTTCTAAACTACACGAAACAAAGGAATGTCCACAATAGGTAGGTAACGCCAGGTTGTGTCTGTGGTGAGGCCTTACCGTGTTATGGGGACAATTTCTTCTGTTGGGAAAGTCAGGATCTAATTATTGGGACAAAAATTTGTCTCCGTAACATTTTTGGTAACCCATAACATCTTTATTTCAACCCATGTGTAATCCCCAAACCCCAATAACAAGTATGGGTGTGCTTTGGGGGGTGGTTTCCTTTTTTTAAAAATCGTTACATACATTTAGTACAGGTCCTCGACTAGATATTGCTGCTAATGATGAGAATCAGACAAGGCTGAGTGACTTCAATCGCAATCACGCAGTACACAAGATTAAACACTGTAAAAGATTCATTGATGCGACCTCATGCCATGCATGGATATGGGGGGGGGGCGGAACGTGTACTGTCGAAGCATGTACTCCATACTCAAGCAGCCCTTCACTTGCAAAGAATAGGGAGGCTTATGGGTCCCACGTTCTGACTGGGTATCTGTTGCCCTTTTAGAGGCCATACACTCCAGTGAAAGTAAGAAATCAGTTACCCTGGATGGCATTAAACGCATTACAGTATGTTGTGTTCCAGCTGTACATGGATTGATTACCATGCATGGTACGTATTCAACCATTTGCCTTGTCTGACTGGCTTGTCCATTGCTCCTGGAAGAGGGTAGACTGCTCCCCCTCCTCCATTGTTCGAATTTTGAATGGTGACTTGGTAGGTGGGACCGGATAATGGGCCCTCCTTTCCGTTGCAGACTGCTGAGGGATATTAGTGAACAGAACTCTTTGGAATTCAGAAGCATCAACTGGTGTTTCCCTGGATACTGGATAGAGACAGGCTGTCTGTTTCAGTTTTTACTGAATGCTTATGTAATTGCCCATAAAAATCGGTGGGACAGGATGTGAAACTTCTGGCAGCCGGATCCATGCAGGGAAACACTTAAAAACTCTCAGTCAATTGCATCTGCGTGGGAGATTTTGTACTGAAGTGCATGCACTCTGGTCCTATTTGAGTTCGTAGAACTTTCCAGGGGGCAACATTTTTTTCAAAAGGATGTACGTTCAGCAGCAGAATGGGATTCAAATTCTGTGAAGGCTAGTTTCCAGACAATGGCAGTGAGCTCAAAGACGGATGCAAGCATGCCAGACAAGGCAGTCGGCGAGTTCTGTCATTGCAATCATGATCCCACCGGTACGTGTACACTGCTGGGGCTTGGTCGTTTCTAAAGAGTGGGCGTGGTGTTAGTGTTTGCAGTGCATTGTGGGATTGATTGTGTAATGGAGATATGTTGCCGTCTGGTTTTCTACCTGAAAATGATCAGTGTACACAGAGGTACAAAGACGCACTTACTTGTTTCTGGGTTGAGGGGACTACACACGTGTTGAAACATAGCAGTTCAGGGTGCACACTGCACATGATCAGTAAAGTTAAAACATGGTTCATTTCTGCCAGTTTGTGTCAGGGTTGGACAACAAAATCTACAGATGAAATGTTGTCTGGGGATATGCTTTTGCAAGTTTGGTCAAGTTTATAATGGTGTCCACCCACCTGGTCATGCCATTGAGTGCACGTGCCCATTGGCTGGATATGCCACTTCGTGCTACTGCTGATTCCATTGGATGTCACAAGTGGTCTTTGTTGAGGTAGCAACAAGGTTGTACTTGCAAACCGTATTGGAACTGGCACTGGTTTCCCCTGTGAATGAGGAGCTGCTGAACTTTTAATACTGTGAAGCATCATCAAGCCAGATGGAATGGGCATTGGTGCCTTGCATTGTCCGCATTCTGCATCTCTTCAAAGCTCTATGAAATGAGATACACCAGACTTTATTATGGAAGTGTTCTTTCCACACTGTGTTTTTATTTCATTTTTATCAGTAACTGAATGGACAGAGATCGTGCTTTTAGAATTTTTCAAGAAAGGCTTCTGGGTAATAGAACTGGGGGAAACTGGAACTTGGTACCTGCTCCTTTGGTCAGGTATCAGGTAAACAGCCCTAATGTCACTCAATAACTGTGTTTTGGGCCTTAAATGTGCCACTCTCTCTCCCTTTTTCAGTTGGTTAATATTGAAACCAGGCTCAAGTGTCCCCACTCACCCATACATGTACATGTATTTATAATGCTGGGTTTTATTAAAGATATGCTGTACTTCATTCCTTCATTTTTTAAAATTGTGGGTGAGATTTTGTGTGGGGGGGGGGGGTTTGGGGGGCGGAAACCTTGTTGATGATCAACAAAAGAGTTTTGCAGATTTTGGAAATTAAGATTGCACTTGAGTTGTTATTGAATTTAAATGAGTATCTGCTTGCTTGGTTCCTCTGGGATGTTTGTTTTTACTTTGATGCACAGTGGTTGAGTGGACATGGATGAAAAGTTACATTCAGACATTGTGCACTGAAGTCTGAAGGCCATACCAACTACAAGTTGCCTCAGCGATGTACTTCCAGATCTTATCGTTGTTCTGGACTGTCATCACTGAAATAAAAACCACAAAAAAACTGAATCCCATTCATAGATTACGATTAAAAAAGGTTTTTGTGTACATGTGATGGGGATTTTGTAGTTGGTTAAACACGATTTACACAGTCTACTACAGCAATATGCAAATATCTATACGCTCACCCTCATAATCTGCCCATGCCGTGATTTGCCAATGTTTCAACCTCATTCCCAGACTAAAAGTCTTCATCCTTGGGATACTTTCTTGTCTTGTTATACTGACTAGTCTGCTTAGAATTCAGTAGCTTGCATTATTTACTCCTTGGTAAAACTCCATTTTAAAGGCATTATTATTATGTATTGTATATTTCTTCCATTTATTCAGTTATTATTTAATAATTATGAAACGATTGCATTTTTGTATCTTTTATGTTTAAGGAAAATTTGAAATAATGTGGATGTGGTTTTAATAAGTACTTGCAAAAGTTGTTGAATTTGTTTTGGAAACAAATCAATTTTGTACTCCTCCTGTCTTCTTGATGAAGATAGTGGCAATTTCTGACCAATTTTGTAAATGCGAGAAATGTCCATCTTTTTGAAATGGCATCTTTTTTTACTTGTTTAAAAACGAACTATGCACGGCAGTATTGTTGTAACCTCTGGTGCCCGGTTTTGTATGCATTCGGGAGATATTTTGCAAGATTCCAACCACTTGGTACCAAATAAAGAGCCTACAATCAAATTTGTAATTCCTGCTAATCTGCCAAGTGCTCGCAGGAATTTGCATTTCTTGCATGTATTCCATCTTGCCCATGTAACTCTGTGTAAATGTGTCGTTATAATTAGTGTCGTCAAGGTGTCAGTCCTTACTACCGTTCTACGAAAATACTAGCCGCTTTTCTCTGTGTTGGACTAGAAGCTCTTTGGCTTCTTGGCTATGTAGTTCTGCGCTTGTTTGAGCAGATTACTGGAATTGGTTAGACTACAAATACATATTCAAAAATGCACACAAAAGAAATGAAGTTCATTGTCCAGTTCCTTTCTTGGTTGTATTTGTGTTATTGGAGCAGTCTGCTAGATGTAATGTAAGTCAAGTTGGTGCTCTGGAATTGGAGGAAGCAACGAGTTTCATCTGTTTTTTTCGTTTGTTTGAATGCTTCGACTGGGTGTTATTATTTCACGTTTGCGTTCACAGTGTCTATAACACTGCTCAGAGAGTTCACGTCTAAACACTTGTATACCTTTTGTAATTCTATTACTTTTTATAACTGTATTTTATTGAATGAAAAATATTAATATTGGAATACATTGAATAATGCAAGTAATATTTTGCACCTATCGCATTTTTTTTATTCAGAAGTATCTTACTAGATATAAACAGAACGTAAATATTAAAGTATCCCCGGCAGCCATACAAACGTATTGTAGCATAACGACGAGGATTCCTCATAAAATTAAATGGAGTAGTTTTACGCTGAAAATGTTAAAACGTTGCCCACTCAATTCAGCATTAAACATTTATCAGTATAATACGAGTGTTTTTGGTTACTGGAAGAATGTTGGACGAACACGGAAGTGCATTGTCTGGAGTTATGCGATTTTCATTGGTGAGAAAATTAATGACAGCCCTGTAAAGGAATCTTTATGTGTTGTACTTGTGCTAAGATGTATTTGCATGCATTCTGGTCTGGAATATTAAACGTCTGCATTGCTAAAGTTTGCTGCGACTCTCTTTTTTCCCCCTTGAGTCAAGTTGAAGAGGTCATTGAAGGGCTTACTGACGTAAGCACATTTATGGAATCTTTCCAATTTGTATGTTTTTCTAATCAGTGATTAGTTTACTTAGTTAAATAGTTTTTATCCCTTGCCAATTTCTTCTAAAAATTGTTCAGTTTAACACTAGATCCATTCAAATTTTCCATTGAAATATCCGATTGCAAAAGTGACATTTGACTTTGGTTCTATTGGAATTTTTTCGAGAAACAGGTCTAATCTTTTCAATCATTCAAATTTGTCGAAGCCTCGGGGAGTTGTTTATCAAAAACTAATTGAATCAACCGGCAAACAGTTAAAACATGCTCCCATTCAAATTCGTTCACGTGGCATGCATGAATGTAATGCGTTATGTACGGTATATTCCGAGGGGGGAAATTCTAGTGCATTAATTCGCCCAACCGTTGTTAACATTTCATTTTAAATAAAATAGTTACAGAGAATTCACCACTTGTGCACACAATCACAAGAAGATATCCTGCCTATGTTTCATGTTTCAGAAAGCCCTATAATGATAGAGCTGATATATACAGGCCTGTATCATACGGAACATGGAGGTAATTACAGGGTCCCCCCACAAAAAAACGCAACCTAATTAAAATTGAATTTTCCCCCAAACTAGCGTAGCGCCAGGAATCGTTGTCTTCTCTTCAAATCAAAGCTTAGAATGTAATCTTTTCAAACCCAAAGACCTGATTTAAATCCATGATGTGTTGAGGAGATAATTTCGATGATGTAAGACAACTGCATGCTTTGTTGTTCTGTCCAATGAGACGGAATGTTTCGTTGCATGCTTCGTTGTTCTGTCCAATAAGACGGAATGTTTACGCCATTTAACATCCTACATGACCAGATCGTTGGATAGATTCACATAGAATGAGGATACTGAGCTGATCCACAGATGTGTTGTGTTACGCACAAACCTCTTATTTTTCCACCAACACGCACAGGATCCGGAACTGGTCCAGAGTGGTTAATGTTACAAAAGTAAATAAGATCGGCACATTGTTATAAATATTAAGGTAATCTGCACAAGTTAATGAACTTTCTTCTGAAGCAAACTTATCAAACTCTGAAAGTGCAAAGTTAAATTTCCGCTGCCTTCTGAGATGAACTTCTAACTTTATCAAGTTTAGGATTAGAAACAAATTCCAATTAACTATAAACTCAGTTGTGTATATGATATTTAAGGTTGTGAATTCACTGATTGCATTCACTTCCGAGCGTAAACCTCTTTTGGATAGAACAAAAAAACTGAGTTGTATTACATAATTGACAATATCCATAAAGAGAAACCGGTACATAAAATGTTCTGTAAAAAGAAATCTGTGAATGAAAAATCCATAAACTGTAATCCGTTAATGCGAGAATTCCTACATGAAAATTTGTGAATTAAAACATTCTGTAAATAGAAATCCGTAAATTAACAGGTTTTCGTTTACAGACCTTTTTTGTCTGTATTTTTACGGATGTCATTTTTGGTAATTCCGTTAAAATACGGTGTTTTACGTAGAATACGTTTTCCGTGAAATTACGGAAATGTTCCTGAAATTTTGCTGCCGAGACTTTTTCTGTAAAATAACGGAAATGTTTTTACAGTGTATCTCCGCAGAGCAATACGAGCTTCGAATAAATCTTACTTTGAGTAGAAAACACTGTAAACTTGAACACGTAAACGGCATGAATAAAAACCATAGTCAACTTTTCGTATTTTGTGAATAATAAACAACCGATTGCTTATAGTGTAAAAAATGCCGCATGAAATAAAGTTTTTTTTCTGATTCGATGAAATTAAGCGTCAATCGGCACAACAACACTACTGTCTTGCGGTGACCGATCACCACCTCCCCTTGAAACTACATGTTGTAAAGACTATAATCCGGCAACGATCATAATGTCTTGTTGCACGAAACGTTGCCTGCGTTAAAGTAATCATCTGAAGCCCATTTCTGACAGGAAAAAAACACTCTGATGTCAGAATTTGCTCAGCATTTTAAATTTACCCGAAACTACAGGCCCAAGCAAGAAGAAAACGGAAAAACGCTCGTACTTCACGTTTCCAGCTTGGTTGTAAGATTTGTCGAAAACTAAGCCCTATGGGAATGCATTTCATCAGGTTGATCGGGTAAAAAACAGCACGCAACAGAGGGGTCTTTTGGATATCCCTGATGTACAGAGTGAGCGTCACAGCTTGCACTGCATTCTACATCAACCTTTGACAACGTTTATGAACTATGACAGAGGTCGAGTTCATGCATGACAGTGGGCGTATTATCATAAAACATAACCAGATCATAACAAGAAACGGCCGCCATTTGCCACCGCGACGTAGGCCTACGTGCAATTTACATTATGCGCGGGCTCGAGGATAATGTGCATATATCAATACGCTGGGCTTGCAACCTCTAGCTGTCGCGCATGCAGCACGAATGCCGCACCCAGGCTGGCTGTGCGCGGTCCGGAAGACGTGCTGTGGGAAATGATTCAAGATATCCGTTTTGAGTCGGTGATATATTAAGGTATGTGCATTACCTATATTTCCCTCAGTTTCCTGAGAGGATGGTCGAGGGATATGCCGATAACATGAGTGTTTGCCGACCCGGAACTGGAGGACATTTGCAGGAAATTGTTCGAAGCGAGGCCGAGATGCCAGATATACATGTAGATGAGGCTGACTGAATTTATTATTCACGGTCCTGCCAAAACCATTTTGTGACAATCCTGTAAATATTCCAGTGCACATTTCATAGAATAGTATTCTTTCCGCTTTAACAGTGTAAAGCGAGTAGAATGACAGGTTTGTTAATTTCAGGCCTACTAGGCCTATTCAAAACATTCGTATGTAAAAACATACATGTAATATTTGCCATTGTGAGATATAATATACTGCAAGGGTTAGTTTGTCTGGACCAACAGCCAACACGTATCCATGTTCGTCATGTGTGAAATCAGACATAAGAATATTTTAGAATATACAGGAGAAAACCTTCATGGGGACCTTTTTTTAATAAAAAAAATTATTGAAATCACTTTACCTTTACACGATTCAAAAACTGCAGATCGATGGGGGGTGCCACGGGGACCACACCCGAAAATGAGCCAAATCTAAGAAGAACGAATACTAATTTTAATGACAGACTTCCATTTGTGGTGTTTGTTTCATTTCGTTTTCTTAAAAAAGCGCGCTAAAAAACCGAATTAAGCCTTGTCCCTCAGAAAGGTCAACAAGGTTACATGAAACAAATTCCATTTTTTTTATCCCCTCAAACAAGTCTACCCCCCCCCCCCGACAAATTGGATCCGGATCCACTCCTGGGGGTACTCTAACCCTTCAAGTTCAAGCAAGCAGAATTGCTTTTGTAATGGAAGATGAGTCAGCAGTGAGAAGGCTACCTTCAGTAGCACTGAGGCTACCAGAT